TGAATGGATTTTTTGTAGGGTATGAAGATTAGCGGAAGATGATCTTCAATTCATAGAAAAAATCCACCCAATTTGAGATCCACCTCTAGGTTACAGTAGGAATCTTCAACCCATGAAAAATTTGTCTTAAACCAAATAGTATGAATTTCCTAGAGAGCGGATATTTTATGGGGTTTAAGGATCCGTGGGTTATAGTCTTCAATTCCTTATGAAGTTCGTGTCATTGGATTGGACGTAGTTTTGCGCCATCGGTTTAGGATTTATTGCCTAATCTTCTAGGGTTTGTCATCTAAATGAGTGAACTTTCTAGAGTTTGAAGGTTTAGTGAGAGATAATCTTCAATTCTCTTTATGGAATTCATACTTTTTGGAGAGAGTCAAATTTTCCGTGTCTTAAAGATTTCTAACGTAACCCCTAGTTTGATCTCATATTGAATGAATTTTTTGTAGGGTATGAAGATTAGCGGAAGATGATCTTCAATTCATAGAAAAAATCCACCCAATTTGAGATCCACCTTTAGGTTACATTAGGAATCTTTAACCCGTGGAAAATTTGTCTTTAATCGAATAGTATGAATTTTCTTGAGAGTGGATCTTTTATAGGGTTTAAAGATTTGTTGGTTATAGTCTTAAATTCATTATGAAGTCTTCAATTCATTATGAAGTTCATGTCATTGGGTTGGACACAGTTTTGCCATCAGTTTAAGATTTATTGCCTAATCTTCTTCGGGAGTTTGTCATCTAATTGAGTGAACTTTTTAGAATTTGAAGGTTAGTGGGAGATAATATTCCATTCTCTTTATGGAATCCATATATATATATATATATATTTTTTTTTTTAGAGTTAAACTTTCCATGTGTTAAAGATTTCTAATGTAACCCCTAGGATGATCTCATATCGAATGGATTTTTTGTAGAGTATGAAGATTAGCGGAAGATGATCTTCCATTCATATAAAAAATTCACCCAATTTGAGATCTACCTATAGGTTACATTAGGAATTTTTTAACCCATGTAAAATTTGTCTTTAATCAAATAGTATGAATTTCCTAGAGAGTGGTTTGTTCACCTGTTTCTTAGTTATAAAATTCCTCATCATTTTGTTGACCTGTTGAGTTACTTCAACTGGGGCTTTCGTTAGGGAGAAAAAATATATGAGAGATACAATTAAGAATCGCTTGCACGAGGGTTAACCTTCCTCCTTTGGGGAGGAGGCCTAAATTTTTTATTACCACCAAGGCGCAATCCCAAGTAGTTAAAATGGAAGGATTCCACTTTACACCCGATCCTGTTGAGCCCAAGAAGACTCCTCTATAAGAGATGTTTCGGAAACATTCAAAAATAGACCAGAACCTATGCAAAAACCTACTTACATTGTCATGTCAACAAGTATACTTTCCTTTAGTATGTTTCAGTTTCCTTGTTCGTCATCTCCCTTGTATTCGTATGAGCAAATGCACTTTTTTCTTATCCCAAATCTCTGTTCTCTCTTATGTTTCAAATTTTGTCCATTTCAATATTCTTCAATGTCTTGAAATTCATATGAGCAGATGCACTTTTTTTCTTCCTTCCAAATTTATTTACCAATTGAAGTTTAGTTACAGTCTTATTTGTATATGATAAATATGAGGGATATTTATATATTTATTTTCTACTTCGAAGTTACTCAGTCAAGGTAGCATGTTATTCATTTGGTTAAATCTTTTCGTCTGTTTTCAATTTTCTCTTTTCCAGGTTGTTGGGATATTGATGGTGTCCGTTGGAATTTTTGCCCATTCCTCAAAACATTTTTTCTGCAAAATTTTTATTTCACTCTCTTAAATTTACCATTCCAGCCTCTTTTCTCCCTTTAAAATTTTGTCCATTTCTTAAACTGTTCTCTTGAAGAATTTTTCCTCTTCAGATTTTGAAAAGTAATTTTCGAAAATAATACTTGATTTCTAAATTTATTGTACTTTCAAGTATTTTTTATCTCTGACATTTGAAAGCGATTTTCAAAATGATTTTTGGAATAGTAGATGTGAGGTGAGTTTAGGAAAATTAATTGACCGGAAATTTTCCTATTTCACCTTATTGCGTACGTTAATTTTTTTGAAAGTTAAAATTTTCCTTTATTTGTCAATCTCCTAACATCTTTTCTTTTTGAATTCATTTCCTCAAACTTTCCAATTCCTTTTTTTTAATGAATATACTTACAATTTAAAAAATATTTTAAGAACTATGATTTTTCTACAAAAGTTTTGTTTTTTAATCCTCTCCATCTTTCTAACTTTTTTTTCTCTGTCTCAGCCTTTCTTCTCTCTATTAACATTTTTACCTCTCTTTCCCTAAAATTTTTCACTCTTATTTTTTCCCAAAACTTGTGGGGGTTCAAAAGCCCATGGATGAACATATTTTGGAGGAAAAGATATTTTCCATCAGAGCATTATTGTTGTTGGCGATCTAGTAGAATAGGCATGGATGAGCCTAATTAGGAATTAACTTCTCTTGTGCAGGTCTAGAAAGTTCTGTTGACCTCCTACAAGTATTTCTACAATTGAAGGTTCAAAAGCCCATAGACGGACATATTTAGGAAGAAGGGTATTTTCTATTATAGCATTATCATTGGTGGCACTGGGTTGTGATCTTTTTCTGCAATTAGAAGTGGTTGTTTCCAGTAGCTTTTTGTTTTATATAAGAGTGTTTGGAGATTCTTTTTTATTTTTTAATTTTTATTTTTCATGTCGACAAAATGAGATTTTTACATTCTCGCAATCAGATTTACTATTTGTTTAGTTTTATATGATACGTCTTAGCTTTTAACGTTGTGTTTCAGATGGATGATGGTTGAATAAATGAACTTGCCGGTGCTTCATGTTCGGGGAACGAAGTTATTTCTTTTCTAATTTACCATTAGTTTAGTTTTATATGATACGTCTTAACTTTTAACATTGTGTTTCAGATGGATGATGGTTGAATAAACAAACGTACTGGTGCTTCATGTTCGGGGAACAAGATTATTATGTTCGAGATCTGTTGCAGTTTGAGGGCTTCTTAAAATTGCAAATAATTGGGAGTCAATTAGGCAAATGGATCAGTATGTAACTCTTCCCAGTTCGCTGTATTATTTTATCGTTTTCATTGCATGCGAATTTTATTATAAGGTATCGAAGTTACTTTTTGCCCCTTCCTCCAGAGAAAAAAAGTTTTTATACTCTCTGTTTTTATTGCATTTATGTTGTTTGAACTCAGATTGCTGGGGAATTCTGCACTGCTTTGAGAATGAAAGTGAGCTAAAAATGCTAGGAATATTGGCAGTGAGCTTAAGGGTATATCCTTAGCTTTATTTTCTTCAAATATTTGTTAAAGAATGTTATAAACTTAAAAGGGACGTTTTAAAAAAGTTTTTGCATTTACTCTATTCTCATCGCATCTACGTTTTCCAATCCAACTTGCTGGTGGGAGATACTAGGAGTAGGAGTATTTTTCATTTCTTTAAACATTGATTAAAGAAGGAAAATAACTTTATGAAATTAAAAGTGTCATTATACTAGTTTTCTATTTTTCTACAATAATTTCCATACAATTTCATATTACTTCTGAAGCATGGTATTTTTTTTATTTTTAATTGCCTATAATGTTTGTTTATATGATTATTTTGGCTTTGAGTATTATCTTTTTCTTTCGTATTTCAAAATATGATTTTTTTGTTTTGTTTCGAATATAATTACTATTATACAATTTAATCAAACTCTCTTTTATAATAGTCTCATATGCATTGTTGAAAAGTAAGTTTCATTTCTTTTCTAGGAGTAGTAGTATTGGCTAAGTTGAAAGTATGCTTCATTTTTTTCCATTTCTTCAAACGTCGATTGAAGAAGGAAAGTAATTTTATAAACTTAGAAGAGTAATTGTACTAGTTTTCTATTTTTGTACAATTATTTCCATACAATTTTATATTACTTCTGCAGCATGGTATTTTAGAAGAGTCATTGTACGTAACCCCTAGTTTGGTCTCATATTGAATGGATTCTTTGTAGGGTATGAAGATTAGCAGGAGATGATCTTCAATTCATAGAAAAAAATCCACCCAATTTAAGATCCACCTCTTGGTCACAGTAGGAATCTTCAACCCATGGAAAATTTGTCTTAAACCAAATAGTTTGAAATTCCTAGAGAGTGGATCTTTTATGGGGTTTAAAGATTCGTGGGTTATAGTCCTCAATTCATTATGAAGTTTGTGTCATTGGGTTGGACATGGTTTTGCCATCGAATTATGATTTATCGCCTAATCTTTAGGGGTTTGTCATCTAAATGAGTGAATGATGTACACAAACACAATGGTTTCTTGAAGTGATTGAAAGATATCTTCAGCCTCTATTTATAGAGTTTGGCTAACAACTCATAACACGGTAAAAACTAGTTACTGTGTAGTAACTAACAACTAACTAAAGAACAAAGCTTGAAAGCTAGATCTTAAAGGAAAACCTTAAAATAACAACTAAAACACTACATCAATTTTCCCCAACCCCAAAAAGAACTCGTCCTCGAGTTAAGATGTGATGACGAAAGAATCTGGCGGATGGTATCCACATTGAAAACATGGCTGACATTATAAGTCGCTGGGAGCTGGATTTTGTATGCATTAGGGCCGAACCGTTTAAGCACTTGAAAAGGGCCGAGCTTTTTTTTCTTCAATTTAGCATAAGTACCCGTAGGAAATCTACTCTTCCTTAAGTGTATCATCACCAAATCTCCGACTTGAAATTCCTTTGGCCGCCTCTTTTTATCCGCTGCTTCTTTATACTTGGCAGTTGTCCTGGCAATGTGGTTGCGAACCTCCTGATGGAGCTCTATTATTCGGTCAGCCGTTTCTTCAGCCTCCAAACTGAGATCAACAGATGTAGGCAGATTAGTGAGATCTAAAGTTAGCCTAGGAAGCTTAGTATATACAATCTCGAATGGGGACTTCCCTGTTGTTCTATTCTTCATGTGGTTATACGCGAACTCGGCTTGAGCCAAAGAAATATCCCATTGTTTAGGATGGTCCCCACTTATGCACCGAATGAGGTTGCCTAATGACCGGTTTGTGACTTCCGTTTGTCCATCTGTCTGAGAATGGCTTGTTGTACTGAATTTTAAGGATGTATCAAACTTTTTCCATAGTGTACGCCAAAAGTGGCTTAAAAACTTAACGTCCCGATCCGAGACTATTGATTTTGGAATACCATGAAGCCGTACGATGTCTTTAAAGAATAGGGTAGCAATAGCTACCGCATCTGATGTTTTCTTGCAGGCCACAAAGTGTGCCATTTTGCTAAAGCGGTCCACCACCACCATTACCGAATCATAGCCTCGTTGTGTTCGGGGAAGTCCGAATATAAAATCCATTGACAGATCTTCCCAGATACTTTCTGGTATAGGTAACGGTGTGTAAAGACCGGTGTTTTGTGTAGTGCCCTTATATGATTGGCATGTGAAGCAATTCTTAACATAATTGGCCACATCCTTTCGAATGTGAGGCCAATAAAATCGTGTTGTTATGATGTCTAGTGTCTTATCACGGCCTAGGTGTCTGGCGAGACCTCCAGCATGAGCGTCATGTAGAATTGCTTCCCGAAGCGATGTATGAGGGACACAAAAGGTGTTCCCTTTAAAGAGATATCCCTCCACAATATGAAAATCTTCGATAGCCAAGTGGTTAATGCATTTATGCCAAATATCTTGGAAATCTTGGTCTTTCTCATAGAGATCAGGTAAGTAATCAAATGCAATAATCTCTCCTTTAAGGAGTGTTAAAAGACTATGTTTCCGGCTTAGAGCATCAGCAGCCTTATTAGTATGTCCGGCCTTGTGCTTGATAACAAACTCGAACCTTTGTAAAAAAGACAACCAACGGGCATGCATGCGGCTAATGGTTTTTTGAGTGTGTAAAAATTTTAATGAGAAGTGATCCGTGAATAAAACAAATTCCTTACTTAAGAGGTAATGCTCCCATTGTTTCAATGCTCGAACTAAAGCATAAAGTTCTTGTTCATATGTGTTCCATTTTTGGGGAGACGGGCCAAGTTTCTCACTAAAGTATTTTAGCGGATGGTTATTTTGGGATAACACTGTTCCTATTCCTACCCCAGAGGCATCTACAGCTACTTCAAAAGGAAGGTCAAAGTTTGGGAGGGCAAGGACTGGACTTTGACATAGTTTTTTCTTTATAAGTTGAAAGCTCTCAGTTTGTGGAGTATCCCATGAGAATTTGCCCTTTTTTAAACAATTTGTCAGAGGGGAAACAATAGAACTAAAATTCCTAATAAATTTCGTATAAAATGATGCAAGTCCCAAAAAACACTGTACGTCTTTCACGGTTTTTAGGTTCCTCCCATTCGGAAATAGATTGTACTTTAGAGGGATCCATTTTTACGTGATTGTGTCCTATTATGAAGCCAAGGAAAGAAATTTCATTTGCTACAAAAAGACATTTTTTAAAGTTTATGATCAATTTATTGGATGCAAGAGCAGAAAATAGTGATCTAAGGTGGTCCATATGGTGAGACATAGTTTGGCTATACACTAGGATGTCATCAAAGTAAACAACAATAAATTTGTTAATGAAYGRGAGTAATACCWGGTTCATGAGCCGCATGAAAGTGCTTGGKGCATTTGATAATCCAAATGGCATCACAAGCCATTCAAATAAACCTTCGTTTGTTTTGAAAGCTGTCTTCCACTCATCCCCGGGTCGAATGCGAATCTGGTGGTATCCACTCTTAAGATCTATCTTAGAAAAAATTGTAGCGCCACCCAATTGGTCCAATAGATCATTGATCCGTGGAATAGGAAACCGGTATTTTATAGTAATCTTGTTTATTGCCCGACTGTCAACGCACATACGCCAAGAACCATCCTTTTTAGGGGTAAGGAGGGCGGGGACTGCACAAGGGCTAAGGCTTGGTTTTATATGCCCTTTTTTAAGCAACTCGTGTACTTGATCGTGTAGTATCTTATACTCCGATGGGCTCATGCGGTAATGCGCTAAATTAGGGAGCGTTGCTCCGGGGAAAAAATCGATATGATGTTGAATGTCCCGAAGGGGAGGTAATCCGGGTGGTGGCTCCATAATAGTGGGAAACTCATTTAATAGTTTCTGCACTATAAAGGAACAAATAGGACCATACGTATGAGTAGCGAAGTCTTTTATTATCAATCCCAGGATAGGTTCTTTAGGATAGATTAATAATTGCTTGGCTGATGTAATAGGAATAAACTCCCCTTTCCTTTATCACTATCCTTTAGAGGGATAGATTTAGATGTGTTAACAGGGAGGAGAACCACCTTTTTCCCCATCCACTGAAATTCATAAGTATTGTCTCTCCCTTTATGTAAAGCCTGAGTATCATATTGCCACGGACGTCCTAATAGCACATGACATACATCTATGTCGAGAACATCACATATAATTTGATCCTTATAGGTAGCACCAATGGACAAAGCTACCGCACACGTTTGAGTCACTTGTACCTCGCCCCCTTTTTTAATCCAAGAAACTTTATATGGAGCGGGGTGAGGTGATAGAGGCAAGTTTAATGCGGTAACCAACTTGCTAGCAATGATATTTTCAGTGCTACCACTGTCAATTATGACATTACAGATTTTGCCATTGATAGTACACCTAGTCCGAAAGAGAGCATGTCGTTGATAAGCAATATCGGACTTAGGAGTTAACARCACTYGTTGAAGAACACATGAAACGATATCACCTTCGTCTGGTACCGTATAATCAATATCATCAACAATTTCCTCACTGCTGTCCTCTTGTAGGACATCCTCTTCGACCATATTGATTATCTTACGGTGCGGACATTCATTGGATAAATGACCGGTTTGTCCACACCTAAAACATTTCCCTAATGTAGGGCGATGGTATATATTGCCCTGTTTCTTTCCTGTCACCAAATCAGTGTGGTTAGATTTGACTAAATCAKTGTCCAGAGTTTTACCTTTTGTCGTAGGAATGGTACGGTTGGGAGAGGAAATGTTGTCACTCGTCRAAGTAGGCTTCTTGGAGGTTCCACCTTGTTCCCAATTGGTCCTTCGGGTGTACTGTTTTTTGAATCGATTTCCAACTTGTTCCTCAATTGTTGTGGCCGTAGAGATGRCCTCATTTAAATAACCTATTGGTTGGAGSGCGATCTGTTCTTTAATATYCGAGCGTAATCCCCCAATGAATCTTGCCACAAGATGTTGTTGTCCTTCCAATAGATTTGTTCGAGCTCCCAAGCGGTGAAATTCTTCAGAATAGTCAGCAATAGATCGGGATCCCTGTCTACAATTTTGATACTGATTATATAAAATTTGTTCAAAATTAACAGGAAGGAAGCGTTCCCGCATGAATTTCTTCATGCGTTCCCAACTTCGAATGGGTTTTTTACCATAACGATGTCTATTGATTTCCAGCTGATCCCACCACGCCGAAGCTCCTCCTTTGAGTTTTAACGCTACAAGTCTTACCTTCTTATGTTCAAGTGTTCCCATGTAACCAAAAAAATTTTCGACATTCTTTACCCAATCAAGAAACCCTTCAATATCCATTTTACCATTAAAGGTAGGTAGATCAATTTTCATCTTGTATTCATTACTATCTTGGTTTCTATGTGGGTTAGGATATCTACCAAACCTGTCACCTTCAAAGGCAAGTAGTTCTTCCTCCTCCTCGCTGGAAGAATCCGCATTGAACTCATTCTGCCGCTGAAACAAAGGATTCTGGTTCAGTTCTTGATTGAAATGTCGTGGTTCTTGGAGGTTTCTTGGACCCAAACGGATTGTTTGTGGTCTTCTTAGTGGATCTGCTTGCCGTTCTTGCTGAAATAAATTTCTTCGATCCCCCCTCTGTACTTCTTGATCCAATCTTTCTTGTTGTCCTGTGGTGCGTCGGACCGGGGATCATTCCACACTTAAAGCTTCAAGTTTCTCATGTATAATCTCCAAGATGTGTTTAATCTCGCCAACATCCTGTTGAATGGCCTTCACCTCCCCTTCAATCAACCGACAGCAAGCGTTCGGTTGACGATCGTGGCGAGAGAATGGAGGGCTGCTCAATTTCTTTGTTGATGAGGGAAGAGTCACCGGTGATCAACTTCTTTCCTACCATTTGGTGCCCAGAAATTTGGGTGCTCTGATACCAACTTGATGTACACAAACACAATGGTTTCTTGAAGAGATTGAAAGATATCTTTTATTAAGAGATCAGCCTCTATTTATAGAGTTTGGCTAACAACTCATAACACGGTAAAAACTAGTTACTGTGTAGTAACTAACAACTAACTAAAGAACAAAGCTTGAAAGCTAGATCTTAAAGGAAAACCTTAAAATAACAACTAAAACACTACATCAGTGAACTTTCTAGAGTTTGAAGGTTAGTGGGAGATAATCTTCAATTCTCTTTATGGAGTCCATACTTTTTGGAGAGAGTCAAATTTTTAGTGTCTTAAAGATTTCTAACGTAACCCCTAGGTTGATCTCATATTGAATGGATTTTTTGTAGGGTATGAAGATTAGCGGAAGATGATCTTCAATTCATAGAAAAAATCCACCCAATTTGAGATCCACCTCTAGGTTACATTAGGAATCTTCAACCCATGGAAAATTTGTCTTAAACCAAATAGTTTGAATTTCCTAGCGAGCGGATCTTTTATGGGGTTTAAAGATCCGTGGGTTATAGTTTTCAATTCCTTAGGAAGTTCGTGTCATTGGGTTGGACGTAGTTTTGCCATCGTTTATGATTTATCGCCTAATATTTAGGGGTTTGTCAACTAAATGAGTGAACTTTCTAGAGTTTGAAGGTGAGTGGGAGATAATCTTCAATTCTCTTTATGGAATCCATACTTTTTGGAGAGAGTCAAATTTTTAGTGTCTTAAAGATTTCTAACGTAACCCCTAGGTTGATCTCATATTGAATGGATTTTTTGTAGGGTATGAAGATTAGCGGAAGATGATCTTCAATTCATAGAAAAAATCCACCCAATTTGAGATCCACCTCTAGGTTACATTAGGAATCTTCAACCCATGGAAAATTTGTCTTAAACCAAATAGTTTGAATTTCCTAGCGAGCGAATCTTTTATGGGGTTTAAAGATCCGTGGGTTATAGTTTTCAATTCCTTAGAAAGTTCGTGTCATTGGGTTGGACGTAGTTTTGCCATCGTTTATGATTTATCGCCTAATATTTAGGGGTTTGTCAACTAAATGAGTGAACTTTCTACTAATTGAGTGGACTTTCTAGAGTTTGAAGGTTAATGGGGGATAATCTTCAATTCTTTTTACAAAATCTATACTTTTTGGAGAGACTTAAAATTTCTGTCTTAAAGATTTCTAATGTAACCCCTAGGTTGATCTCTTATTGGATGGATTTTTTGTGGGGTATGAAGATTAGCGGGAGATGATCTTCAATTCATAGAAAAATCCACCCAATTTGAGATCCACATATAGGTTACATTAGGAATATTTAACCCATGGAAAATTTGTCTTTAACCAAATAGTATGAATTTCCTAGAGAGTGGATCTATTATAGGGTTTAAAGATTTGGAGGTCATTGTCTTCAAACCCTTTTGAAGTTCGTGTCATTGGGTTGGACGCGGTTTTGTCATCGAATTATGAATTATTGCCTAATTTTCGGGGTTTGTTCACCTTTTTCTTAGTTATAAAATTTTGCATCATTTTGTTCACTTTCACTTCAGCTGGGGCTTTTGTCAGGGAGAAAAATTAGATGGGAAATACAATTAAGAATTGCTTACGCAAGGGTTAACCTTCCTCATTTGGGAAGGAGGCCGAAATCTTTTATTACTAGTGAGGTGAAATTCCAAATAGTTAAAAGGAAGGATTCCACTTTACACCCGATCCTCTTTAGCCCAAGGAGACTGCTCTACTAGGTTGGTATTAAGGCCTATAAGAGATGTTTTGGAAACATTCAAAGGCAAACCAGAATCCATGTAAAAACCTACTTACATTGTCCCGTCAACAAGTATATTTTTCTTTGGTATGTTTCAGTTTCCATGTTCATCATCTCCCTAGTATTCTTATAGCATAAGCAAATACACTTTTTTCTTATCCCAAATTTGTGTTTTCTTTCATGCTTCAAATAGTGTCTAAGATATATTTCCATTAGATATGTTTCGATTTCAATATTCTTCAATGTCTCAATATTCATAATAGCAGATGCACTGTCAGGTGGATGACCCGTGAGATTAGTCGAGGTGCGTGTAAGCTGGGCCCAGACACTCACGGATATAAAAAGAAATAATAGCTGATGCACTTTTTTCTTCCTTCCTAATTTATTTACCAATGGAAGTGTGGTTAGAGTCTTATTTGTATTGGATAAATACAAGGGATATTTATGTATTCATTTTTTGCTTCGAAGCTACTAACCAGTCAAGGTAGCATTTGCTTCCGTTTGGTTAATTATTTTCGTCTGAGGTAAAAAGATAATGTTATGAGCTTTCTGTTTTGCATGTTGTTGGGATATTGACGGTGGCCGTTGGAATTTTTTTCCATCCCTCAAAACATATTTTCTCCAAAATTTTTATTTCGCTCTCTTAAATTTGCCATTCCAGCCTCTTTTTTCCCTTTGAAATTTTGTCCATTTCTTAAACTGTTCCTTTGAAGAATTTTTCCTCTTACTCCTTTTTGTTATAAGATTTTTGAAAAGCAATTTTTGAAAATAAAACTTGTTTTCTAAATTTATTGTACTTTCAAATATTTTTTCTCAGTGATTTTTAAAATGGTTTTTGGAGTTGTAGATTTGAGGTGAGTTTAGGAAAATTAATTGACCAGAAAATTTCCTTTTTCACTTTATTTCCTACACTAATTTTTTTTGAAAGTTCAATTTTTATTTTCCATGTCGACAGAATGGGATTTATACATTCTTGCAATCAAATTTACCATTAGTAAGTTTTATATGATACGTCTTAGCTTTTAACATTGTGTTTCAGATGGATGATGGTTGAATAAATGAACCTACTGGTGCACTGTGTTCGGGGAACGAGGTTATTTTTTCAAATTTACCATTAGTTTAGTTTTATATGATGCATCTCAGCGTTTGACATTGTGTTTCAGATGGATGATGGTTGAATAAACAACCCTACCGGTGCTTCGTGTTCAGGGAACAAGAATATTTTGTTCAAGGTCTGTTGTAGTTTGTGGGCTTCTTAGAATTGCAAATATGGATTAGTATGCAACTCTTCCTAGTTTGCTGTATTCTTTTATCGTTTTCATTGCCTGCAAACTTTATTATAAGGTGGTGTGGCACTAACTCAGGTATCGGAGTTACTTTTTGCTCCTACCTCGAGAGAAAAAAAGTTTGATATACTCTCTGTTCTTATTGCATTTATGTTTTTCTAACTCAGCTATCGTGGGAATTCTGCACTGCTTTGACAATGACAGTGATATGAAAGATGCTAGGAGTATTGGCAGTGAGTTGAATGGTATATCCTTAGCTTTATTTTCTTCAAATATTGATTAATAATGTTATAAACTTAAAACGGTCATTTAAAAGAGTCGTTGTGCTTATTTTTTAAATCCACTTTGTATGCTATTTTTCTAGTCACATCCACTAATGACATTTCTAAATTCTTGCCATAAAATTTATCATTAGTTTTGTTTTCCTGGCAGATATGTGATGGTGGAAGAACAAAAAACCTAGTGTTTAAGGCATGCCGAGATCTTATTAAAATTGCAAAATATCTAGGAGCCAATTAGGCAAATATGGATCAGTATCCAACCCTTCCATGAGTTCTCTTTCTAAATTTTGTTTGATTGGGGAACCAACTTTACCTTGAATTCCATCATGTCATTCCTTCTTCTTTCTCCACTGTTTCTAGGATTGGCAAATGTTACCTGGATGCCTTTTCCAATTATATTATCAAGAGGTTTGGCACTGACTTAGGTGTTGAAGTTACTTTTTTTTGCCCTTTACCAAGAAAAAAAAGTTTTTGCATTACACTGTTCTTATCGCATTTACGTTTTCGAAACCAACTTTCTTGTCAGAGACACTAGGAATAGGAGTATTAGCTGTATTGAAAGTATGTTTCTTTTTTTTCATTTCTTAAAACATTGATTAAAGAAGGAAAAATAACTTTATGAAATTAAAAGCGTCATTGTATTAGTTTTCTATTTTTCTATATTATTTCCATACAATTTCATATTACTTCGAAAGCATGGTATTTTTTATTTTTAATTGCCTATAATGTTTGCTTATCTGATTATTTTGGCTTTGAGTGTTATCTTTTTCTTTCCTATTTCAAAATATGATTTTTTGTTTTGTTTTGAGTATGATTTCTATTACACAATTTAATCAAACTCTCTTTTATAATAGTCTCATATGCATTTTTGAAAAGTATGTTTCATTTCTTTTCTAGGAGTAGTAGTATTTGCTGAGTCGAAAGCATGTTTCACTTTTTTTTTGTTCCATTTCTTCAAACATCGATTCAAGAAGGAAAATAATTTTTATAAACTTAAAAGAGTCATTGTACTAGTTTTATATTTTTGTATAATTATTTCCATACAATTCCATATTACTTCTGAAGCATTGTAATTTGTGATTTTTAATTCTTATAATGATTGTTTATATGATTACTTTTGCTTTGAGTATTATCTTTTCTTACCTATTTCAAAACATGATTATTTTTTTTTCGAGCATAATCACTATTTCACAATTTAATCAAACTCTCTTTTCTAATTGGAGTATATCGAGTTTAACGAACTGACTGTGGAGGGGTTTTCTCAGTTTCTTACTAATAAAGAAACCCAAAAGCGTAGTGGCAAAAATAGATAAATGACAACGAAAATCCATAGCAAACTAGCCATTATTTTTAAAGCAACACATACTCCTGCATGTTAATGATTTCCATCTTATTCTTTCAGGAATGCAACTTCTAAGGACAACATGGAACATGAAAGATTATGTTCTTATGACTGTGATAATACTTTGGCACAAAGATCTATTTCCTTCAATTACTCAGATCAGTGGTTTTTCACGATTAATTGGGGCCCCTTTGCGGACTTTGGTGAGCTCTCAAACTTCTAATTGATTTGGTAAACATGGAAATTTTACATAATTTATATATATGCATGGAATACCAGTAAGCTTCCTCATTCCTTCCCTATCTCCTTGTCCTCCCTCTCTCAGTTTTTTCCTCCCTTTCTCTATCCCCCTTGCTCCCATCTTTATTTCCCTCTCCCTCTCTTTCTGCCTCTCACTCTACCTCTCCTCCTTCCATTCCTGTTATTCGAGTGTTAATTGGAGTACTGTGTTTAAATGTTATTTGGGAGGATTTTTGGTTAGAATTGTCCCTTTGTTGGTTATGGTTATTACTCAAGGCTCGTATATTAGGTACTAGATGAGAATGATATGAATATTTTTCTTTCCATTTATTGTTCTAATACCTATCTCCTCTCTCGGTCTCTATCTTTAATTGTGGTTGGTTTGTTTGTTGATTGCTTGTTTAGTGGTTTCTCTATGTCGAGGTGTCCTGCCAAAATCTCTTCCAATAGCAACCAAGCTATTGAGTCCACTTTTCCTCCCTTTCTCTTTCTCTTCCCTTCCTTATCTCCTCTTTCTCTCACTCCTTTTGTCTACCCGTCTTTTAAATTATTATTTTTTGGGGGGATGAGGGGATGGGGGGAAGGTTGCAGCTTCTAGTCTACAGAGTGAGTGTGAAAGRTCTTCATGTAGTCCATAGCTACAATTATTTTTCTTGCTTCTTTACAGACGTTGACTGTTTTTGTTATTCTTCATTTGTTGCGATGTAGAGGTCTTCATATAGTGAGGTGTGAAAGGTCTTCTAGCTTTTTGTTCCCGCTTCTTCTTTATAGTTGAGTGTTTTTGTTATGTCTTTTGTTCCTCCCTCTTCCCTATTTCATCTCTCTCTTTCTCGTTGCTGTCCATCCCTCTCTTTTTTCCTCACTTTCTCTCCCCAGCACTGTCCCTTTCTGCTTTTCTCTCAGTCTCACTCTCTCCCTCTTCCTCTCTCCTTCCACTCCAATTTGTGTATTATCTGAGGGATTGAAGCATTTGTGTATTATCTGAGAATTTGTGTTTCAATGTTATTTGCTTAGGAGGATTTGTTTTGTTAGAATGGTTTTTTATTTGGTTATGATTATTATTCAAGGCTTGTATTTGTATTTTTTGTTTTAGATGAGAATTATATGAATATTTTTCTCCCCATTTATTGTTCAAATACCTATCTCCTCTCTGTCTCTACATTTGTGGGTGGCTTGTTGATGGCTTGTTTTAGTGGGTTCTTTGTTGATTGCTAATTTATATGAAATTGTTACTTATCTGTAGATTATTATCAATTCTTTCCCCGTCAACTTTTGGCTAAACGCCTAAACTTGATTTAATGCTTATAGTCATTATATTATCATGACATTTTTATCTTTGTTTTATCCTTAGCATGGATATCTCCCCCTTTTCCCTCCCTTTTTCTCCTCTCTCCTTGCAAATAATATTAGTTGTTAGCTTCTTTAGTTTTGGACAAAGAATACTATCCTCCATTTATTTTCCTAGTTCTTGCTAGCTGTTTTTGTTAATGTGGAGGGTAACTAGATTGTTGGAGTTTGACGTTGTTTTGTTGGCAAAATATGTTATTGTGTTAAAATGTGTGAGGGGAGGAAGCACTTAGTTTCCATTTCCTGTCCCTCCCTCACTTAGTAAAAGTAACTGTGGAAGCTTGTAGTGAGAAATTTTTTTGAGAATGTTTGTGGTTATGTTTGTTAAAATTCCGTTGTTTAGGTTTGTGGGTTCATGTTTTGTTTGTTGTTGTCTTTCTCTCGTGTTCTGGCTGTTTCTATGGTCTCTTTGTCGATATTGTGTCTCTATTTTAAGCCGTGAGATCCATCTTTGATTAAAGTCTCTGGTTTGAACCAATACCCAGTCAAACTAGGGATCCTCCGATTTGATCAGGTCGGGTACCTGTAGGGATTGGGCCCAATACCATCCATATAATACATAGTTAGAGAATGAGTCAATATTTATCGCTTCTCGTTATTTTATTTTTATTACTCTTACCCTTTCGTGTTGTTTGTTGTTTGAATATTGCCTTAGGTTTGAAAGTGAAAATACTTTTCAAAAGCATTATTTAAAAAAAAAGAAGAAGAAGTTTGAAAGTTAAATTGTATTTTTATATACTTTTTTAATCATATACGACTTTGAATATTAAAAATTCATGCTTATTTCTTTATAATCTAACCAGCTTTCAAAACTTTTGTTTCAGTTTCAGCCATGAATTTTGAAGAAAAATATTTTTGGTTTTTGTCATTAACCCTTTTACTTTCAACATTATTATAGGGACTAAATAATCCTATTGATGGCTGAGGTGAATTTTTAGCTTATCAATCTCGGTTAATTTGAAGACATAGTAAATGAATAAAGGAAAGTTTTTCGAATGATGAACTAATTTAAGTATATATTCATTTACATAACATAAGTTTTCTTAGTTATCAAACATTTAACTTGTTGTGAGGATATGACTGTTCTTCAATGGAGTTAAGTATTTTGCTTTTAAAAATTCAGAATTTATTAGAAATATCTATATCACAAAACCCAAGTAAACATGAAAGTTTAAATACCTATTAAGAAAATTTTGTTATGTAAATGAAAATTTTGTTTTTGTTATTCTTCATTTGTTGCGAAAGGTCTTATATAGCGAGTGTGAAAGGTCTTCATATAGCTACAGTCTTCTAGCTTCTTGTTGCTGCTTCTTCTTTGTAGTTGAGTGTTTTTGATATATGTGTTTTGTTCCTCCCTCTTCCCTATCTCGTCTCTCTCTTTCTCGGCGGCCTCCATCCCTCTCTTTTTTCCTCACTTTCTCTCCCCAGCACCATCCCTTTCTACCTCTCTCTCACTCTCCCTCTATCCCTCCCTCGTTCCGCTCCTATTTGTGTATTATCTGAAGATTTGTGTTTAAATGTTATTTGATTAGGAGGATCTATTTTTGTTAGAACGGTTTCTTATTTGGTTATGACTATTATTCAAGGCTTGTATATGTATTTTTTTGTTTTAGATGAGAATTATATGAATATTTTTTTCTCCATTTATTGTTCTAATACCTATCTCCTCTCTGTCTCTACATTTGTGATTGGTTTGTTGATTGCTGGTTTACTGGGTTCTCTTAAACTAATTTGTGGTTGGTTTGTTGATTGCCTGTCAACTTTTGGCTAAACTTGATTTAATGCTTATAGTCATTATATTATCATGACATTATTATCTTTGGTTTATCCTTAGCATGGATATCTCCCCCTTTGTTATTTCCTCTCTCTCCCTTCTTCCTGTCTCCTCCTCCTCTCTCTTTCCTTTTCCTCCTTTCCTATCTCCGTATCCATCTCTTCCTCCTTTCCTCTCTCCCTCTCCCTCTGTTTCCCTCCCTTCCTATTATTTGAGTATCGTGTTTCAATGTTTGAATTTATCGAATTAAGTAGATTTAGTAGTAGTTAACTGTTTTGGTTAGGATTATTATTTATAGAGTAGTTGACTTTCATATGGTCTATATATAAGGTCTTAGTTTTTTGTTTTGGATTAGAAATATGTAAGCATTTTTCTCCATTTATTGTTTTCGATTAGCATTTTTCTCTATTTATCGTTCTAGTACATGTTAATATTATTATTTATAGTGCAGTTGGTTTTCATATCGTCTATATAAGTTCTGAGTTTTTAGTTTTGGGTTAGAAATACGTAATATTTTTCTCCATTTATTGTTTTCGTACATGTTACTATTATTTATAGTGCAGTGGGCTTTGAATCTTTGATATAGTCTATAAGTCCAATCTTTTAGTTATTCTTCATAAATTGCAATAGTGATTGATGCAAGGAGCCATTGTATGTATTATTACGACATTTTTAAACTTGAGTTTGTATTGACTTGGATGTTGTTATTTATTTGGAAGGAGTATTTGATCTTTGTGTTGTCTCTCTTCCATTCCATTTTCTCTCTCCCCCGCCATCTGTTTTTGCCTCCCTCGCTCTCTCCCTCGTCTCTCCTCCCTTTCCTCCCTCCCAATTATTGGAGGATTGTGCTCCAATATTATTTGTTTAATTAGATAGATTTAGTAATTATTACTTACTGTAGAGGCTTATTTCTCCATTTATTGTTCTGGTACACGTTACTAAAGGTAACCTGATTGATGCAAGGAGATCTTTTTTCTCTCACTTTTCCTCTGTTTCTCCTTCCTTCCTTCCCTTCATTCCTTCTCGTTCCCTTCCAATGATTGAAACACGAGTATTGTGTTTCAATGCTATTTGTGTTACTATCCCGCTCTCTGTTTTTCACCCCTTCCTCTTTCTCTCCTTTCCTGCCTCCCTCCCTCCCTCCATAACCTATTGGTTATTTATTAATTTTATTTGGGCTTCTTTATGGATGTCGCCTGGAGAGTGTTAAAACTTTTATGTTGCTGATATTGATATCTTTTCCTTTCATAACTGAATGCGAAAATGAGTTCACAGTAGATGTAGATTTAATTTGTTTTGGCTTCTCTCTTATTGTATATTTGGTAGGTATTTTCCTCTTTATTTTGTTCAAAATAATGTTGGTAATATGGAGGGTAACTATATAGATTTAGTAGTAGTTTGACGTTCTTTTGTTGGTAATATGGAGGTTAACTATGAAAGCTTGTAGTGAGGAATTTGTTTGAGAACGTTTGCGGTTGTGTTTGTTAAAATTCTGTTGTTTATCTTTCTTGCTTGTCGTTTGAATATTTATGTTTCAAAAGCATTATTTAAAAATAAAAATAAAAAGTTTGAAAGTTGGAATATTTTAAAATTAATTTTGAAAATAGTTTTAAAATCAGCATATATTTATTGAACTATATAGATTGAGTAGTTTAGCTTCTTTAATTTTGGATGAGCAATACCCTCTTCAGTTTTTAATTGTTGGGGAGAGTGTTCAAACTTTGTTATGTTTCATATTCTTTTCTTTCATTATTTTTACTTTTACTAAATGTTTGAGAATGTTGCGGTTGTGTTTGTTAAAGTTTTGTTGTTTGGGTTTGTGGATTCATGTTCTTTCTCTCGTGTTTTGGTTGTTTCTATGGTCTCTTTGTCGATATTGTGTCACTAGTTTAGGTTGTGGATTAAAGTCCCCGGAGATTCTTCGATTCGATCAGATTGGGTACCTATAGGGATTGGGTAGTTTTAAAATTATTCTATATTTATTGAACTATATAGATTTTGTATTAGACCAGTAATACCCTCCCTCAGTTTTTAATTCTTGGGGGGTGTTAAAATTTTTGTCTTTCATTTTCTTTCGTTACTTTTTCGTTACTTTTTCCTTTACTAACTGTGAAAGCTTGAGTGAGAAATTTGTTTGGGAATGTTTGTGGTTGTGTTTGTTAAAGTTTTGTTGTTTAGGTTTGTGGGTTCATGTTTTGTTCGTGGTTATCTTTTCTCTCTTATGTTACGGTTGTTACTATAGTCTCTTTGTCGATATTTTAAAATTAATTTTGAAAATAGTAATATTTGAAAAAATATCCAATGAATATGCAGCTAAATCTCACAAATACTAATTGAAGTTAAAATTTATAATGTATTGCTATTTTTTATTATTATAAAAATGGTGTTTTTATTTACTTTTTTAATCATATACGACTTTGCTTATTAAACATTCATGCTTATTTCTTTATAATCTAGCATTCAAAACTTTTGTTTCAGTTTCAGCCGTGAATTTTGAGGAAAAGTATGAATAATAATTCTCCCTTAAAATTTCTCTCAACTTATCCAACTTTTGTTTTTCAAATTTGTCTATTTTTCAACATATGTATAAATATGACAGTTTAAATCTGTTGTAAAAGATGCATAAAAATGAGAGGTGGTGATGTTTTTTAAAACACATTAATTTTTAATTTTGTTGAAATTTCTTTATGATTTTTAGTTTAGTGTTAAATTTATTCAAACTCTTTCAAAGACATCATTTTTCCAAAAATTGTCCCAAATTTTCCCCATTTCTGAGTTTTTTTTATCTTTAAATCTTTTTTTTTTGTCGCTAATGTCTTCAAATAAACTTATATTATATCTAAATCTTTTCTATCCATCGTGTTTTTCTACCTAAAATTAATAGAAGACAAAATTTAGAGAGAGAAGTTGGAGATATATTTTTTAGAGAAAATATATTATAGAGAATTTAACATACTAAATTTTAGAGAGTACTAATTTTTTAGATAGAAATGAAAGCCAAATAGAATTAAGTAGGATAATATTAAAAAGGAATAATTAAAAAATATATTGAGATAAAAATATAGAGAGAGAAATAATATTTTAAAATTAAATTTATAAAATTTATGATTATATATGTGGGTTGGTTGGAATTTAATCAATTCTTTTCAGCGTATTCGGTATATTAATTACTAAGAATGAGGGGTCCATTCATCTATGGCACAGCGACGATTACAAGCTCGTGCCTGTTAAGCTAAAAACTTCCTTGGATTCACTACCAGGATACTTGTTCAACATTTATACGGACAAATAGGAGGTTTTCAAGCTTTTAATTTTTTCACCCAAATGGATACCTTACCTAACTAAATCATTTTTGTTTTTGTATTTCTAATGCAACAATTCGAACCCTTAAATGAGAGGAAAATTTTTAATAGAAATAAACTTAGTTTTTCATTTTTCATCTTGGCTAAGTTTAAGAGACCGGAGACACGGTTTTCAAAAACTTTTTTCAACAAAAAAACAAATAAATAATAAAATCTTTTTCTTTTTGAGGTTTTTCTTTGGTTTTGTCTCATCAGCAAGACATTTAAAAACAAACACAACAAAATAAAATAAAATCAATGATATAATCATGTGAATGAATCGTCACTTTTTCATTCGAAATCGTCACTCTCCTAAAGTGGACAGACTTGGGGAAATTGTACAACCGTATCGGTTTATTTCCTTCTTACAAGCTTCTAAAAGTAAATAGATTTTGTACTTCAAATATTTTTTTCAATTTGGTATGTGAAAACAATGCCCTGCATAAAAGACGAGATCGATTACCTTTTGGAGCTTGCATTTGTTGCGACTTGTGAGACAATATCTGATCCTTCATCTCTAATCTCCGGATAAACAGTTTCTTTAGTTAATCAGCATTCATACGAAAAGCGTCTCAGAATGCATCTGAGAGCTTCAAATTCGGAACATAAAATTCCAGAAATTATGAGAGAGCTCACAAATAATGAGTACACTGACAGTTTTAAAGCTTACATTGAGGTGATGTTCCTCGAGATCTTAGTAACTATCTATGTCGGTCTCGGGCCTCCTCAGGTAGTAACGTAGACAATTTACCAGTACCTGCACGTTCAAAAACGCGTTGAAATGCATTAGAAGAGAGTAAGCAAAAAGACTTTAATATCACCTCATCCTCCACATTCTTGTTTATAGACATCAAAGTCTATCCATCATATTACTTTTTTCAAGTTCTAGGCACTCGAGTGCAATAACTTCCTTGTGAGGAAAAGTACACAATATGTAGAAGATAATAATAATAATAATAATAACAGCAATATAATATACAAAAATTTTAATTTTGTGAGGTGTGAGGTAAAGAAAATAGAGAATAAACATATACTTATTTTCTTTTGATAAGAAACCGAACTTTTCATTGAGACAAATGAAAGCAGATTCTTGATCAAGAAAATAAAGAATAAATAAATATTCATGAGAAACAAAAGTTTGCAGTAGTGTTTAATTAATTTAAATAAAAAGAGGATGATGATTTTGTGTATAAGGACTGATTCTTGATCAAATTCATGAGTGGGAGATAGAATTGTGGAAGAGAGTGAGGGGGAGAGCATAGGTAGAGAGAACTACTCCAAAGTAATTGTGGCTAACTAAAAATTAGTTCTCAGATATTTCATGTTGCTTAACAAAAAGTATTATTGAAACTTCTGAAAACACTTGAATTCTTTTCCGAATGTGCTAAAAACAATATGTTACCTTTAAAACACCTCACAAAGTATGCCCAAATACAGTCAAAATTTCATGTACCTGAGATAAGGAACTATTTAGTGCAGCTCCACCATAACTGACATGAAATTTGTCTTTGGCGACCAACCCCTGGAGATCAAAGTTTAAAATCTTGTTATCACAAGTCAAAGAGACAGAGAAACATATGGGAAGGGAGGCTTTACTTCTGTATCTATCTCTGCGGATTCAACTTCAATGTTGATGTCGGCAAGTATTTTTATAACTTCAAGTATCAGTCCAGGTCGGTCCGCTGTCTCTAAGTAAAGTAGGCTATAAATTGAAAATAAAAATTAGATGATAGTTGAGCAATTAACTCTGCAAATTTTTTATTTCAGTGCAGAATTGTACTCTAAAAACTGTTTAGCCATGTAAAAGGTTGTAGATGGGAAGCAATAAAATTATCACAACGAAGTTGCAGCAAGTTATTCTAAATCGAGTAGAGCAAACCTCCTTTTAGGTCCATCTGGTTTCACGTGAACATGAGTTGCAATATCAATATCAAGCTGCATGAAGAAAAATAGGAATCTCAATTAATTCTATTAATGAGAGGACCTCATTACCATCGAAAAGTCTATTTGGATCCCCCCAAGTGATAACATTTCTGTGTGCTGCAGAGTCTGATGAACCAAAAAATGCACTCAAGATCCTAAACTGGCAACCTCGTGGATGATAAATGAATGATATTACTGAGAACAATTATGACAGCTCATTCTTATATGGAAAACATAAAGAATACCCGTCTATAAAGAAATAAATAACTAAATTTCAAATTTTAGTTTTACCACGTTCGCACAACCCACATGCATTAAGGCTATTTACCTTTCTTCTTTTTCAACTTAGACAATTGACTTTAGGGACTACAATAATGCCCACATTTTAACTCATTTCCATAGCTGACTCCAACATTTATGAGAAATAAACTTGTAATTCCTACCACTTCTTCTCGAAGAATATACTCAAACCCACATTTCATGTAAACAAAAATTTCCAAGACAAAAAGAATGAGGGATAATAATTTCCAGAAAAATCTGAAAATGTTACTAATAGTAATGCACTACAAATGAAATCCAATTATTTAATATCATAAACAATGGATAATAACGGACTTATCCACAAACTTCCACTGAAGATCAAATGCAATTAGTTATTAGTATTTTCAATTTGAGAATTTCCAGAAAATACCATAATTTTTCTTTATCCTAAGAAAATGTCAATCAGAAAAGAAAAGAGTGCATACATTCAATGGATGTCAGCACACTGGAAGCTCAAAAAAACTGAAAAGATCAATGAAAGTTTGAAGGAACGTGTAACATGTTCTAGGTTATCAGAAGAAATGTAGTAACTGCTACCTTGTGGCAGTTTGGAACTTTATCGATAGTTGCATTTTTTAATGAAATTGAGATTGATAGGAATGGGATATTGCTTGAGTTAATCTTTTTCTCGGGCTCAGGCACCTAATTCAAAAGCCTTTTATAATTATATCTTTTTATATGGCTAGTTGGAAATCTTTTTGTAAGCCTCTAACCTTCAGTTCGGGCTGAATCCCTTGCCCTGTCTTATGGTTTCAAATTATTTTCCTTAAATAAAATTATTTACCATAGAAGAAAATATAAGCAATGAGGAAGTCATACCTTCTTCTCTGGAGGTTGAATTCCAAAAGCCTCACCCATTGCAAGCTGTTGACTAGATTCCTACCAAGAAACTAGAAAGCTAAGATAAAGAAAATACAAGGAACTATTCAGAAAGTTAAGTGAGAGGTTTACTTCAGACTCAAAACATTAAGATAGTCATTAGTATGTTGAGTTATTCAGTATACATACTGGATGATACTTCAAAAGGTTGTTGATGATGGTTAATCGAATTCTCTCCAACAAATCAGGATCTTCTACTTTGCGGCCAAAGTCTCTAGAATTACAAACATCAGAATACATGTTAATATCTTCATCAATAGTTATATAAGAGCACAATTAGAATATCCCTGCAAGATAGGGCGTACATGATATAAAATTAGAATATATAATCAATCCTCAATCAGCATAAAGCAACAGAAAATAAGAATTCTCACATGCACAAGAACTAAAATTCCAAATATAGGGCTATACTTTCACCTCCATATCAGAAGTGGGCAGAAGCTATGACTACATTCTAGCAACATAGCCCATGCATGAGTTTTGGGTGTAGACCAGGAATTGTAGAGATTGGCTTTCAGTTTACAAGATCAAAAAAAAAATTGAGCGCACCCAGAAAATAGAAAAGGAGACAAAATTGCACCCACCCATGTAACTTGAGATATTCCCCAGAATAAAGAAAAGAGAAAGTAAAGGAATAAAATATACAATGGAGAAAAGAGTGACTTGCGGGCAGTCAAAATGTGAGGTGGGTAATTTGGAATAGCCAAGGGAGCTGTAGCAACCACATCAGTCAGTAGCTCAAAAGGCAAAATTTAAGCAGTAAAACAACACACAACCTTGTCAGATAAAGTTTTGTTTGCTTGATTAATCCCTCTGTGGAAACAGTCCCCTTTGCCACATCCAAACCCAAGTCTTTTAGTGCTCTCATCTACATGCAAGAAAACCACAAAATATGACGAAATGTAATTCATTACCATTATATATTTTAAAGAAACAAGACTAGAAACATCGACTTGGCTCCAAATTCTGACCAAAACATTCTTTCAGAAAATGTGAATTTATATTGCACAAAATGAGGATAATACAAATTAATGTACATAAGCCAAAAACTTATTTTTGTGATCATCTATCGTTACGGCATCCAGAAGCTCTAGACCACAATGTTGAAAACTTGAAATAGAAAAATGATTTCTACTTGGGAATACATTCAATTATAACCCTGATGAAAATAGTCATCTAATTGAGCAAATTTTTTGGCATTTACATTGTCAGTATAAACTCAACTTGACTTCACATAATGAATAAGGAAAGAACGAGATATATGAAATCTTGTAACACAGCAATTTCCAGAAAGCATTAAGATGATGGAGGTGCAAAGGTCACCGTATCAATAAGAGCTCCAAGGCGATCACCAAAACTGACTTCCACTATTGTTGCACTGGAGTCTGAATCCTGATCTATGAGAACTATGGGCATTGGCTCATTTTCTTGATCAAATACCTGGAATAAAATCTATCTCATCAATTTCACAGTTTTAAAGTCATCCAGAATTATAAGTTATAATTACTAATGAATATTAACGAACAAAATTGTTGGACAATAAAATCAATTTATCCGAACAGTCCATGGTTATAAGGAGCAAAATAGATGCATAAATTCTTGAAATAAAAATATACAGCAACGCAATACACATACACACACCTAGGCCAAAAAAAACATCAACAGCAGGATAAAGAGTACTGAAGGAGATGCCTAACATTGTCTTGAAAAAATGCACTACGTTTAAATAGTGAAATATGTTTATGCAGAAATAACATGTAAGAGAACTTAAACATATTAACTCTATTGTGTAGAAGTGGTAAGTAGCCTCGGCCTTGAGAATTTTACAATAAATTGTATTTGTATTTCAATAGTAAATTTAAAAAGCACGTCACTAACCAATGAGGTTGGACTGACTGCATTCAAACCATTAGTCGATGCACTTGGGATATTCCTGCATAAAAGTCAATCAATGTAGAACAGAGACAAATGGGACATAAGCACTAGCTTGAGTTGTATAAGTCAAGAGATGGCCATCAGCAACATGAGTTGCATGTTCCAACGAGCAAGAGGAATGAAGTACAAGAGAATAATTCAGACAAATTAATAGGTAAGAATCTAAATAAGTATAAATTGGTTAAATTATATGATTTTATAAATTAGATAACATCTTTAATTAAATAAACTTGTGGTGCAAATATCATTAACAGCAACAGTTACTAGAAACCACAGAGCAATTAGAATTTCAGAATTGCCCATTCCCTAATGCTCGTCTATCGAAACAGATTGTATAATGCACAAATAGAACAAGTCCAAAATGTACTTCTAATGAAGAACAGCATCCCAGACAAACCGCCAGCATTCCTTCACCCAACAAATAGTCAGCTTCTAATAATCAAGTTTCAAATAGAACCAACATCACCGATCTAACTAACTCCTAAGCTGAATACCAAACTCGAAACCCTACTCTCCTAATTTCCTGACACTCGTCTGGGGTAGCTGAGATTTATCATTTTTCACATTTTCCAGAACTTTCTCGTCATCGAAACAGAATACCATAAGAAAGCAAATAAAAAGAGTTGTTAAGAACTAAATATATTCCAGAACCAAGCAAGAAAGCTCGATACAATTAACCAGAGTTCTTCAACTGGTACATGTTAAGGTTTTTTAGATTCAACGATTTCATTCCAGTTCATCCTCCGACAACAAAAGTACATAATAAAACCAAACTCCAGAGTACACGAAGTATACCATTTCCGCAAGAAAGTCAGCCTAGCAGCTCCAGAGCTCCCCTTGCGAAGAAAGAGCGAGGCAATCCTGAACGCCTCACAGTGAGAGGCTTGAGAACCGAACTCCGCATCCAAAAACCTAGACGGAAGTGATGGAGAAGAGTAGGAAGAAGCGACGAAGGTGGAGCTGGAAGTCGCCATAGCCATGGAAGGAATTCAGAATGGGAATCGGAATCCGTGAGTGGAACTCCCCCGTAAGCAAATTTGTTGCTTTTGGAACGAACGGGTTACGGCCTCGAAACGGAGTTTAAAAAAGGAATCGAGTTGTTGGATGCTGAGTCAGCGTGTGGGACCCACGTGAATTGAAAATTATTGAACGTGATTGGTTTGACGTCAGACTCCGGCTTACGTGGCGTATGCGTTCTTTTGGACACTCGGAATAAGATGGCGAAATTCATTCATTGTTCTTATCCAATACATCCACTCATACGATTCTATCCTATCCTTCTCTCTTGAGTGGTTGGTCCCATAGTGATTAATTTATTTTATGATATGATTTTGGATTAAAAATGTCCAACTTATAATTTGGATGTTAATTGGTTTATATTGTGGATTTGTTTATTTCATAGATTTAGATTTGGGTTGTACGTTTCATATATTATTATCTAATTTTTAGATAATGAATTGTTCTCCTACTTAAACTAAAGTTCTAATATATAATGTAAAGTTCAATAGTGTAATATTCGTGTTTATCTTTTTCAATCTTGTCGATGGAAAATTTGTTGTAATACAATTTATTGTATAGATTGCTTTTATATACGAGTTTATAGGTTTTTTGTGGAAGATTATTGTGTACTAGCCTAGATTGATGGTTCCTTTGATCGAGTTTTTTTTCCCTCTCTATACACGTGTATGAAAAAATTACAAACGGTGATTTAAAAAAAACATATATATTTGTTAAATATCATTTAAAGGGCTTGTGCAGGATGATGAATAAGATAAAAATATGTCATTCTAATAATGTAAACACTCCAAACGTGCAATACTCGATACAATTTAAGTAAGTTATTTGTTGCATGTGGGTTTGCCCATGGGCTCGACCAAAAGTTATGATTATCTCGTGTGGTTGATTAATGGTCGGTGATCATTTTCGTTCTTGAAGTCATTGTAACAACCTAAATAGTAATGCGTCATAAATATGCTTGAAGTATCTCTACTTGATTTTTGTTGTCATGGTGATTATTTTTATACAACTAACATCACGACAGTAGACGTGGATATTAAAATCTACAACCATTTGAAGCAACAATATTTTAATCACTATTTTGTGTTTAATTTGATATATGTCATACGATGGTTTTAATTACAAAGTTGTTTGTTTCATCTCTACGGTCAATGAAGAACATGTATGAACAAGACCGTACATTTGTTGTATTAAATACAATGTAAACTATGAACTTGACATTTTGAATGTTTTGTGTTCGGTTGGTTTATGTAATTTTTAAAGCTGTTGCGCTAAAATTATAAGATTTAATTCATAGCATATGTAGGTAATGGTATTGTATTTAAAAGTTTTGCCAATATCTTACTTCACTCCAGTTCATGGTTCCTTGTTGCAACTGTCAAACCAACAAAGTTAATTTAAAAAATAAAAAATAAAACTAACAAAGTTAATAACATGATTTTACCAAATACGAAAATTAAAACTTCAGAAAGCTTTATAAGATATTTTTCAAAATCCGTAATTTTTTTTAATACAATATGTTTGGGATGAAATATCGAACTTACGATTTATTTGGTGGAAATATATAACAATTACTTCGCTTTTGCCGTAATTTATTATAAAATGAATCTATAATTAACACTATTACACAACATCATGTTGTGAAAAAGAAAACATTATTCTTTCTAAAAAAAACACATTATTACAATATAATTTTGTTATCTAACAAAAATCACAGTAAAATGTCTAGACGGAAATGTCGTAAGAGTTTTGACCCAAGTGGAAAAACAATGGGTTGAATAGCCCTAAACGGTCAAAATAAGTTTGACTTTGTACAGCTGTCAAAAAATTTTGACTGAGTCAGTTAAAAAAATAAAAAAGGAAACATCTTTTCACTGCGAGTATATATACAGCCTCCTCTTGCCGCCATACTTGTCCATTCACTCACCGATCATCTTGCTCGGCGGCGGATTCTCCACGTTACTTCACTGTCAAGATTCTCCCGGCCGGCGGCTTTCTTATGTTTTCCGACCCAACATTCCGCCCATCGATCGAGCGGTGAGCGGCGGACAGTGGCGGGAGAAAGAGCGTCGACGAAGTTGGATGGAAGAGATGAAGATGGAGAGTTGAGGCGGAGGAGGCTATGGAGTTTATGGTTTTAGGTGAGAGCAATTTTATTTGAAGAAAAAAGTATAATCTGAAAAGCAGGAGAGCGCTATCCATCAAAATTTTGGCGCTAAATTGAAGGGGCCCACGATTGAGGCCTGATTATAGCGGCGCTGTACTATGCCGATTACTGCCTTGTCCCAGTAAATTTTTTCAGCGGGACCTTCCTAATCTATCTCTTTCTCTGTCGGAATCTCTACGACGGCTGCTTTCTCCATCATCGTAACCCCTTTTTTCTCCCTCTTATTTTTTTTTCAAGGTATTGGAACGGTGCTGTTTGCCATCGCGAATTATCTTTGTTACAGTTCGATGTGGGTTTGATCGGTCAATGCAGGTAAATGTTTGTAATTTTGAGGCCTGTGCTTTTGAATAATTAGATTTTTTCTTGGAGAATTACGGGTTTGATTTCTTGCAATTCGCTGCCAAACCCTAGAGGTTTTTCTGGAACTAGGGTTTAGAGATTGTTTGGCCTTTTAGTTTTCTTTTTGTTTATTGGGAGGTATTCTGATTCGACTTGTCAAGACATGCGAATTTGCTGAAATTGAATTGCCGTTTGAATATTTGATTTCCTTATTCGTCTTCGTCTGAAACCGGAATCTAGTTTGGGAAACTTTATCGAGAGGGCGCACTATAAAGGTAGTGAAAATTGGTGGGTCGCTTATTTGTTTCGATACTTGACTCGTCAACTATATGAAATTCTGGTTCTCTCAAACTGAATTTCGTTTTTCCTGCCGCTTTGATTGTGAGTGGAACATCATATTTTGAGACGTATAAATGGGATATCCCGTTCCCTTTTTTTAGCCACATTGCCCATGTTTTATGCTGGCTGCATACCGCTGTCCATGTAGAGCAAAACGTAGTTAACAATTCAAAGATGTGACTTAATAAACTAGGGTTGGAACTAATTTGATGTCATGGTTACTGCAGATATTTCTAGCTGTTTGGTGCTCCAGAGCTGGGTTCTGGAGTCTTGCAAGTTATACGGAAGCAAATTTCTTTGGGTTTTTGCTCAACTAGCTTTAAGTGATGGCAGGAAATGTGAGGTTTGAGTCCTCAAATTCAGCCATTCAAGACGAGCTAGCGTTTGGGGGGAGCTATGCCAATGGACAGAGGATGAGTCAGACAAGTTCCAGTTTGGATAGGTCTGGAAGCTATCGTGATGGAGGAGAGAGCCGGATGTTTGGTCTGGGTTCTGGTTCATCCAGAGGAATTGCTTCATCTGCTGGGGATCTGTCCACACTATCTCAGTTTTTATTGTTGGATCCTATAAAATTGGGAGAGCAAAAATATCCTCGTTCAGAAGAGATAAAAAAGGTACTTGAGATGTCATTTGGGACGAATGTAGAAGACAGCTCATTTGGATCTGCTCGTTTGAAGCATCCTCTAGCCATGGAGGAGCTAAAGCGGTTCAGAGCTTGTGTTCTGGAATCATCTCATAAGGCTAGGTACTTTAATTTTTTAATCAGTTCTGAATTTTCATATGGATAATACATGTGTGTGCATGTTTTACCCCTCATTTTAGACAATGTTGATGTTGCAATCCTCCATTTTGAAACATGCAGATTCCGATAGTTTCGAATTCTAGTAGTATATGTTTCAAATTTAAATTAGGGTAGGTCAGTGAACTAACTGTTAGGTAAGTTGGCTTGCAATGAACAGTTTTGTTACATAAATATTTATCCCTTTTCTTGGTTACATTTTATTGAATAGAAAAATGTGAACTTTATGTTTATAGGAGGTAAAAAGCTAAAAGAAAATGAAGGAAAGAGCCTTTCAAGTGAAGGCAGTTTATGATGAGGAACTCGAATGACATAAATGATAAATGGAAAATAATTAAATAACTTTTTTTGTAGAGTTAAAGCAATAAGAAGTCACAAAAATTTGCTAATTAATAAAATATTCAAAATCTTTACCATCATTAAAGTTCTAATTATACTTCTTCTATTTCTCTCCTTCCCTAACTCTCAAACTCCAGCCATGAGACCATTTTCCCGCAGGATCTTCCATGTTTTTTTCATCTTGTGCCCACACAGACCATACTCCGAGAATTCTCTATAAGATGATGGATGGATCTGAAGAAGGATAAATCTAATAAGTATTGTGGCTTAGTAGCATTCACTCAATGAATAACAAGGGGGTTTTGGGTTTCCTCAAATGTACCTCACACAATATAACACTGTTTGAGGAGAAGTGTATAACAGGAAACCTCCTCTGAACTATGTCATTAGTATTCAGTCTGACGAAAATGAGGATCCATAGGAACACTTACTATTTTTAGGGTTTTTGTTCTTCAAAATGCCGTTAGTTAAATGGACAAATATAAGAGTCGAGAACTGTTGAGAGAGAGATCTAGTATAGGTTTCTCCAAAATGCCTAAGAATCCAGATTATCTTGTCATCAAACTGGGAGGGATGAAGCATTGATTTTTCCCAACAGATTCACCAACTCCATGTCCTCTACGTCCTCTTACTTCCTAAGGTCTTTTCCTCTTAGAAGTTTTCATCTCCACAAACTGGAATGATGATGGAGGAGGCTCTTCTTCATCTCCTGTTTTGGGATAACAGCCGTTTTTTGTGACAGGTCATGGGTAGGCTTATTAGCTGTTTTTTGGGGCTGTGGATAGAGAGGAATATCAGGACTATTAGAGTGGTTAGAGTTCCTAGGAGGAGGTTTTGGGATCTTGTTAGCTATCAAGTCTCTCTTTAGGCTTCTTTGTCTAAACATTTCTGTAGTTACTCCTTTGGTTGATCTTGCTTGATGGGAACCCATTCTTGACACCCTTTGTTGGGCTGTCTTTTCGTATGCCCTCTTGTAATTCTTTCCTTTGTCTAAATGGAAGCTCATTTTGTCATTAAAAAAAATGGAATGATGATATCGATTATGATGATCACACATTTTTCAGGGGCAGAGCAAGAAGGATGGATGAATCCTTGCACAAATTGAACAAGTATTGTGAGTCTTCCCTGGTCCAGAAGAAGCAGATTCGGAATGAGATCTTAACTAATGAAAGACCTGCTGGACCTAACCTATTGAAGAAGGGAAGTCAGGTTCTTCGAAGCTCTCCAGATGTTGTGAATCAGAGACTCGAGGACAGGGCAAAGAACAATGTTCTTAACAAGCGAGTTCGGACTTCAGTTGCTGAATTAAGGGTCTGTTTAAATTTTCTCCAATCCCTTCATTTTTTCTTATAGTTTCTAGTATTGCATCCCTCTGTTCATACTGTTATCTTATCAGCTCTGCTTCCTTCTTCATATAATAAAAGTTATTGATGTACATATCTTTGTTGGGTTGTCCTTTTTTGTTGTTACTGGAAACTAATTGTTTAGGAATGAAAATACTGTTACAGATTAGTCATCACTTGGTATGTATGCATTTAATGTAATTAAAATTTTTTATTGTCTCATGGAAGTTTTCATAGTTTATATATATTTGTTATTTCTTATGGAGAAGAGATAGCTGCTGCATTGCCAGTGACCAAAGCATCAATTTAGTGGAGAGCAGAGACGAAATGAATAATGCTGTAACTGCTAGATTTTTTGATAATTTGAAAAAGGAGTAGGGCAATAGTCTTTTGAGAGAGATGCTGTGGTTTCAGGTGTTTTTAGAGTAGAGTTCTTTGTTGCCCCTATGGTCTTCAGATACATAGGTCGACTTTAATTAAAAAAGAATGGTACTTGAAGATATGGTATCTGATTTGGAATTCTTAAAGTGCAATTTTGGAGTGTGTTTGGGGCATGATATGTTTTGTGGCTTTGTTATAACCTTCTAAGAAGGACTCCTATTTCCCTTGATCTTTGAAAATTGAAGATAATTTTCTTTTATAGTTGAGTAGGGTTTGGACATCTAGTCACCTGGTACGTATAATTACTTTTTGATAGAAATGAAGTGTGTGAATTTGACCACCATAGTTTGGGTATGGCTTTGTAGAAGTGAAAAGTAAGTTTCTTTATCTTATCATAAGGGGGAAAAAGGTAGTGAGAGGCTGAACATGTAGTGTTGGGAAAACTGGAATCAGTAGAAATTCTGAAAAGCCAGAAAATATGATGGTCAATTAGCTATAATTTTCATGCTGCGAAGTTCCGAGAGTAACACTTTCAGCTAATGGTCTTCTTGATTCACCTTCAAGAGTCATCCGATGATAAATCCTTGTTAACTGTGTTCTTGAGGTTTCTAGAAGGTCACTTTCCTATTGACACTTCTTTTTAATTGCTACGAGCACCATTCTTTAATTTCTGTCTAGATACTGGCCTGCCTGTATATCTACTTTTCTTTCACTGCATGCAAGTTGGATATTTTTTGGACTTAAAGTGCTAGATTCATTTTATCATATTGTTCAACTTTTTAATAGGCTGAAGGCCGGACTAACAATGTTATGAGGCAGCCTCCACCCTTGGCTAGAGACAGAGATTTGCTTAGGGACGGGGGCGAAGGTTCTGATCTAGTTGAAGAAAAAATTCGCAAACTTCCAACTGGAGAATCATGGGACAGAAGAATGAAAAGGAAGCGCACTGTGGGTACAGTTTTGAACAGACCCTTGGATGGTGAAGGAGAGCTAAAGCGTGTCATGCTTCATAAGCTTAATAATGAGGCAGGAGTGCAATCCTCCGATTCCCAAACTGTCAGGTGATTTATTTCTGCATTAATATGCATTTTTTTACTTGTTGCTATATGGAGAATCTTGAGATTGCTTGGGAGAGCTTTGTTTTGGAAAATCACGGGCTCGAGCTTGTGTTCCACAATTTAATTGTATATACTCTAAACCTTTACAAACCTCTCAATAATAACCCTATAAAACAATTATTTATTACACTTTGTTTTGAAGATACTTCTCCTTCCTCTCTCTCTCTCTCTCTTTGAAGAAAAGGAGGATCCTCACAAAATGGATGACTTGTGAGCACGTTGATCTCCCTTTACTGTCTCTTTGCCTACTCAGGCGCTTTCTTTCACCTTGGATGGACCGGTATTTCTGTAAGGCTGTCCATTTCTTCTATCAGAAGTACCATAGCACTCAACAACTATCCACTTCTTAGAAACTCTTATTTCTCTAAGCCAAACGTTCCACGAGACTGCAAGAAAAAGCATCCTGTCAAAGAGTTGCCTCCTATCTCAAAAAGGAGATATAGGAGGGTGAAACATCTCTTCCATTATAGACTGACATGACCTGAAACAAGCCATTTGCTCGTAGAAACTGACTCTCCACACTTCATGCTCTAGATTCAATGTAACTAAATATTTGAGTTCAAAAGCTCCTAGTTTTGCAACACTGATGTTTTTAGTTACCTCAATGATTTAGTTTCATTGTAAAGTCATATTTATGTGAACACACATTTAAAAATGTAATTTGGACAATTTCATTTTTGTGTTCATGTCCATAGAAGAGTTACATTTCTTGCCTTCTTTCTCCTTTTCTTTTACTGACATATTCAATTTATGGGAAACTGGAAAGGTATCTATTGGACAAGAGTTACTTCATGTCTCCTTTTCTGTTTACTATTGCTATGAGATGGATAAATGTTGAAATATGGTGTTCATTGCAGATCAGGTTCTTCTAGTGGTATTAGTGGCATAAACAAATGTGATGGAAGTTCCTTGCCTACCAGTTCAAATGTGCGTATCATTCCGAAGCCTGAGCCTGAAAAAAAGCCCACTCTTTTTAGGGATCCTACTGGCGGACAAGGGAAGGACCGACTACTAGTGAAAGGAAATAATAAGTATGTCATTCCTTTTAATGTACTACACTAGCATGACTGTATGCTGTTATTATTTTGGTGACAAGAAATGGGAGATACTACCCACTTATTAAAAAACACAAATATATGAGTAATGAAAATTATTATCAGTTCAAGATGATGAGAAATCTTCTAAGTTCTAACTTAACAATGAATGAAATTAGCAATCAAGCAATATTGCAATCTTTATACCTACCTTCCAAAAAACATGTTGACATTCATAAAAAGAGTTCGACCTTCTATTGTGTATTCCACTAAGAATATCTCCACTGAGTAAGTAATACGTATAATCTGGAATTGGACTAAGACAGAGCTAATATTCTTAATTGTTTTCTGCTGGCGCTCCTTAAAAGATGGTTCCATTTGCTTTGCGATTTTTTTTGTGGTTAGAAACAAGTATTTCATTGATTTATGAAATAACCAAAAAACCTTGGTGGCTAATTACAAGAAAGCCCTCCAATTAGAGGCAAGGGCATTTAAGGGAGTATCTTACCAATGGACTTCCTTCCACAGCAATCAGAGGGGTATGGCTTTTAAAAAACTTCATCAATTACATGCTCTTGTTACTCCATACATGATTTCCCAGCCTAATTAACTTATTCAACCACTTTTTGGGACCGTGTACTGATTTGTATAAGGATTTGTGGTTTGATGCATTTGACTTTGGATTTTCGATTTATTACTGACATATTTTCATCTACTACTATATTTTTGAGTTGTTTGTGTTCATTAGCATACTGTTATGCGAGATTTGAGAGGTTATTTTTTACTAATGTAAAATTACCATCAGATTAAATGTTCGCGAAGATAGTCATGTAGCTGGTCCATATTCCCTTGCAAAAGGAAAGGGTTCAAGGGCACCCAGGTCTGGCTCTACTGCAGCTGGAAGTTCATCTCCTAATCTTTCACGTATGTCTGGAGCACTTGATGGCTGGGAACAACCTTCGAGTGCAAATAAATTTCAATCAGTAAATGGGGCTAACAATCGCAAGCGTCCCATTCCCAGTGGATCATCTTCTCCTCCCATGGCTCAATGGGTTGTCCAGAGGCCACAGAAAATATCCCGTACGAGAAGATCTAACCTATTATCACCTGTTTCAAATCATGATGATGTACAGCTGGGGTCTGAAGGTTGTTCTCCTTCAGATTTAGGTGGTCGAATGGTTTCACCTGTGACCAGTGGTTCATTTCTTGCTAGGAACTTGTCCATTGGTAGTCAACAAGTTAGGGTGAAACAGGAAGTTGTGTCATCTCCTGCCAGGTTATCCGAAAGTGAAGAATCTGGTGCTGGTGAAAATCACGACAGCCAATTGAAAGAGAAAGGATCAGGGAGCGGGGAACCAGATGAAAGAATGTTGGTTCCTGCTGTTCAGAATAATGTTCCTAACATATTTCATTCAGTGAAGAACAAGGTACTTGATAAAGAAGAAACTGGGGACTGTGCTAGAAGACAGGGAAGGAGCGGTAGAGGTTCATCATTTTCGAGGGTTTCTGTTTCACCAGTGAGGGAGAAACTGGAGACACCGACTTTGACTAAGCCACTTAAAAGTGCAAGACTTGGTTCTGAGAAAAATGGAAGGTGATAGATCTGCTAACATTTTTTTTTTCTCTTTCATTGTCTCTTTTCAATAACCTGGCTTTATCTTATGATATATAATTTATTCAGCAAGTCAGGACGTCCCCCACTAAAAAAGTTATCTGATCGAAAGGCCTTCAGCCGAGTTTCACAAACATCAGCTGGTGGTTCTCCTGATTGTACAGGTATGTTATGTTTGATTCATATCGTCTTAAATGAGGCGTTTCTCCTAGAAACAGCACATAAAGATTGGGACACATTTCTTATATATGTATATAAAATTGTGACAAATGGTTATGTCACATAAAAAAGCTATCATGGGGAAATAGTTTATGCTGCTGAGTTGATACTGCATTTTTGTATCTTTTCTTTTCTCATTGATATAAAGTAAAGATACAAAAATGTTCAAAGGAAACAAACCCTGGATAAGTGAAAAAAAAACAATAATAAAAATAAATAACAGCAAGCTAGTGGTGCTGAATAAAGGTCTTCCAATTCAAACAAATATGACTAGGAGAATAAGGAGAAAACAAATTGGACAGAGAACACCATTATGAAGCTTTAAAGATGGCTAAATCATAACGTTCCACCCAAAATCTGCTCATCCCAAAAAATTCTCTGGTTCCTTTGAAACTAGACCTCTTCTGTTATGGATTTAATAGCATCGATCCATAAAAAGTTGGCACAAGGAGAAAAGATCGAACCTGCTAACAACTGAGTAATATTCTTACTTGCTTCTCTGTAAAATACCCACTAAAAATTTAAAATCTTGCATAGGGAGAGCCAAACAATTAAATGAATATTGGCATGAGAAGAAAAGATGATTTTGACATTCGCATCCCCAACGCATAATAGACAAACTGAAGGCAGCAATGTTGAATATGATAGCTTTCTTTGGAGAATATTTACTGTATTTAAACTTGAATGAAGCAAAATCCAGATTAGAATATTAACATTTTTAGGACTGTTCCAGATGGCTGAAAGTATTTCCTTTGATAAAGGAGTTGAGGCCGATATGTGATATGTGCTTAGAGGAGCCAACAGAAAATTCCTCAGAAGAGTAAAAAATCCAGTATTTGGAATAATATTTTTCCCAAAAACAAACTGTATTTAGCCTTGCAGGCACTAAACTCTTCAATTGCAAAAAAACAGCACTGCTCTTCATCATGCTGTTTTATTTTCTTTAAAAAATGGATTAAAGTTAATTTAGAGAATTGAAATAACTTGTTTTCTAGTAATAGTTTTAACAATATAGAGATGAAAATGGTAGTAGTTTTATCAAATAAAGTTCTTACTGTTAGCCTTAACGCTAGTGAGTGATTGAAAGTTATGAGTTTAGTGTTTTATATGTCATGTCTTACTCCAATCCACTTTTTTCAGCTATCAAATTGATAGTTTAAAGCTTTTTACATGGCTCAACATTTGTTTTGCTAGAAAAAAAGGAATATATTTCTGAGTAAGGAAAAAGTGTAACGGTGGTGGTAGGACTAGTATTCCTTCTTAATAACTTTATGAAAACATTCTTTCAAAGCGACATTTTGTTAAATGATTCAGTAGTTGTTTGGGGTTTTGATGTATGCTTTAGTTATTGAGTGGACTTTTGTTTCCTGTTAAAAGAAAATATCTTGAGTTGAAATAATAATTTTCAAAATGTACCATTCTACTCTTTCTGAAAAGGAAGATTTTAGTTTAACCCACACATGAATACGAGCTTTATGAGTGGGAACAGAAAATCATTGTAAGAAAGTAGTCGATTCTTGTTCAGTTTCCCAATTTCCAATGAGATGACAAATGGATGTATAACTGAATTGGTTCACTTCCTAGATGTTACATTTGCCTCAGTATTCTTATACATGGTTTATAGGTGAATCGGATGATGACCGGGAAGAACTCTTGGAAGCTGCAAATTATGCTTGTAATCCGAGCTGTATGTATCCCACTTCAAATTTCAAATTTCTTCTTTGGACAGGATGTCTAGTGTTAGCGTGTGTATCTGTATGTATGCATGTATAGTTGCTTATTTCTTCTTTTGATCAGAAGTATAGTTGCTTATTTTTTTAAACATGAATCATGATCATGTAATGCTTTTGCAGATGTTTGCTGTTCTAGTACATTCTGGTGGAAAATGGAATTTTTGTTTGCTTCTGTCAGCCAAGAGCATGAATGCTTTTTGAAGCAGCAGGTAAGAACTACAGTATACTATTGTACTGCTAACATCAATAATTCTCAGTGGTACTAAAAGATATTGTTAAATTATAATTTTTCTTTATGGGAAGATATCTCTAGAAAAGAATGATGAAGGCTTCTCTGAAAGATTAGACCATAAGAGCACTATTTCGGTATGTTCTGGATTATCATTTGTCTAGCAGAATAAATTAATTACTTGAGGCTGAAGATTTTGCTATATTGCCCAAAAATTTAGGTGAAGATATTTGGTTTCTCAAAAAATTTAGAGAAAAATTCAGCTAAATCCAAACTTTGGGAAGTATGGAGGGAGATGTGAATAACTTTATTTCTTTGATGCAGTCACAAAATCTTGAAGGATTTACCTGACATAATCGGAGTTTCTGCTTAGGGCTAGTAAATTGTAGGATTTGTGATAGTTTGAGGAAGTGTTTTTTTTTTAAAATTTTTTTTATAAGAAACTGAACTTTTCATTGAGAAAAATGAAAACAAAACAGAAAGACAAGGGCATACAAAAACAACAGTACAGAAGGAAGCTAGCCTAGAGAAAGGGCTTTAAATCCAAAATAATATGACATAACTGATAATTACAAAATAAATTTGAAACAGACCCCATAAGGAGACATTAAACCTTTTGAGGTCCCAAATAGACTCCCGCTCTCTTTCCACCCCCTAAGGATTCTATTGCTTCTTTCCCAGAAAATCCCCCAGAAAATCCCAAAGAACCCAGCCTCCAAAAGGAACCTCCCTTTCTCGTGGAAAGGGGAATACAAAAGCACTTCCTCCACCATCGACCTCCTCTCACTATCACAAGTCCAAGAAATTTCAAACATCTCAAATATTCGGCTCCAAATGTTTTGGGAAAACTTGTTATGTCAGCCCTACTGTTTTAGTGTCAAGTGTGGGAAGTTATTATTTGTTCCATCTTAGCGGCCTCATTTTTTTCCCTCTCTTTTTGGATAAGAGACGATGTAATGAAGAACAAGACAAAGGACAATAACAGCTTTCCAATCATTAATAATCATATTGAGGCCATAATTATAAAATCAGCTTTAAAATCACTTGGTTTTCGTAGAGGTTTCTGTTCACTTTCGGATGAACAATATCATCTAGTTGTATTGATGCTTCAACCTCTCTGAGGTGCTTGTCTAAGTATAGTAAACATCTAGCCTTTCAAAATAGTTATTTTAATCTTTTTTTTTAGTCTTTTTGGGAATCTCAGTACTTTCTTTTGGGGAAGAATTCCAAATGTGGAGTGAAATAGGAACACATGAAAAGAGTCTGTCTATATGATTGTTTTCTGTCCATGTGTACTTCTGAAGAAGTGGTATTTTCTCAGGGTGCTTTTGTGGCAGAGGAGGACGCATCACCTCAAGCATTTGGTTCTGGACGGAAAAGCAAATGCCTACTTAATCAAAGCGAGTCACAAAATATGCCTAGAATTATTGATCAGGTTGATGAAGCTGAGGATTTTGTTACTTCAAGTGGAAAATTAGAATCAGAAAAGAGAAAAATAGTTCCTCCACTGTACCAAAGGGTATTATCAGCTTTAATAGTTGAAGATGAAACGGAGGAATTTCAAGAAAGTAGAGGGGCAAATATGTTTTCACAGTATGGGGGAAATGGCTTTGCTGGTGTTATGCATCCTTCTGTTGATATGGAGCCTGGAAACTCTGTTGAGACTGCATTTGAATCTGAGTTGGATCCTAAAACTCAGCAATTTGCTGGTCGTAGATTTTCTTGCAATGGAAGCACTACCTTCAATATGGGATCAAGGCGTGGCAGGCAGTCATTCAATGATGATGTGCTTCAAGCAGATCATGGATACCAACTGTCAAACAATGGATACTTCCCAGAGCTTCATGAAAATGGTCTTGATGGACCACTAGGCATGCATATGAAAGAGTCTAATGTCTCTGTCTTTAATTGTCAGTATGAGCAGATGTCTGTAGAGGATAGACTCATGCTGGAGCTCCAGAGTATTGGATTGTACCCAGAGACAGTGGTATGCATTTCAGGATTTAGTTTGTACATTTTATATATACTTCTATGTGTGGGTTGCCTTATTCTAATTTCTATTAACTCTCCATGGTATCTTTTTTAGCCTGACCTAGCAGATGGGGAAGACGATACTATAAATCAAGAAATTCTTGAATTAGAGAAGAAACTCAACCAACAGGTTGCAATGCTCTCTGCATAACGCCTTTTATGTTATTTAAATTAGGTTTTCTTAAGATTTGGTTGTGCGATCTTCTTTGACATTTCTAAGCTTTATATTTGGGGCCGATGTAGTAACTTATACTATTTTGCATGGAATGCTTATACACTTTTTGTCTTCTGCTTAGGTTGTTAAAACAAAAATTCAGGGGAACAAAATAATCAAGGCAATTGAGGAAGGCAGAAAAACAGAAGAACGGTGTGGTCTTCAGCACTTTAACTCTTTGCGTCAATCTTTTAACTCATATATAGCAACATTATTATTAACTGTGGAGAATTTTTTATTATTTTTAAATATAACCTTGTAGGTCCCGCGAACAGCTTGCAATGGACCGACTTGTTCAGTTGGCTTGTTTAAAGCAGTTGGTACGTAAAGATATAAAATATATTTATGTTGGGTTTCTTTTGTTATCTCTTTCATTGGTCTATATACATGCAAGTCTATTTACTTTGTCCTTTTCCAGCGTTTCTTCTTGGTCAAGATTGATATAAAATGGTCTCTCTAGTGTTCTAGGATTTTTTTTTCTTACCAATGAAAATGTGTGACATCATGTTGTATGTTTTTGTCATTCATTTTAAAATAATAGCAGTTGTAAACTTACCATATACATGAATGAAACTTACCCAACCCATTAGCGTAAGCTTTTGGGTTGAATGGTGGTTTATTCTGTCTTAACACACACAAATAATCTCTAGATGATCATCCGTTTCATGAGATAATACCATTTAGAAGGTTACCTTGATTGTTTGTACATTTGTGTGTCATGACATTATTAGGGCTTCCTTTAATGGTTACAATTGATTAAGATGTCATATTATTATTTATTATCATCATCATAATGATTTGTAAGATAAGAAACCACTGTAAGGGATGATGAGCTGTACCCCTAAACTCTAAAGCTTTTCTTTGCAAGAGGAACACCTATCCTTTCACGAGATTTCCAATTATTAAAAGTTAGTTTATTATCGTGTATGCTTGGCATGGATTTACTTCTGCATATTCATTTGCCGTGAAGATGCATTTGTAATGTGATGCTTTGAACCAAAACAAAATGCTAGTTTCTTTGATCTGATTGAGCACTCTCTTTGAAGTATTAAATTGAAGTTCCAGTTTATTTTAAATTAGAAATAGCTCACATTCACTTATTAAATCACCATTTATCATATGGTTGATATGATAGGCCACTCGAGGCAGTAGCGCTGCAAAATTGGGGATCCCAAAGGTATCAAAACAAGTTGCTTCAGCTTTTATGAAAAGAACTCTGGCTAGGTGTCGAAGATTTGAAGATACACAAAAAAGTTGCTTCACTGAACCTGCACTTCGAGACATTTTAACTCGATCTTCCAATCGAATGGATGGAGATGTTATGAATGGTAATGGTTCAATCGTTTCCCATTAGTTGACCCATAAAGTTTAAGCTTGATACATTAGGCTTCCTTATTTTGTCTGATATGGCGTTGAACTGAAATATTATATTTTTTCTCTCAAAAAAAAAAAAAGAAAAAAACAGCAGAGAAGTGAACCAAATGGTTATATAAGGTGCTTGAGTAACAAGTAGGGTTCATGATTTGCGCCCAAGCCATTTAATGGTTTTTATTTGCGTCATGTGGAACTCTACTGTAATCTCAAAGTTATTCAATGTTTTCATCTTGTATATACTTGCTCATTTTTTACTTAAACATATTTTCTATCATTGCAGGTTCCTTGCCTGGTGAAGCTTACCACAATGGTCTGCAGAATCGTAAAGGTGGAAGGGGATTACTTCATTCTTCTGACCAGGATTTCATCCGAACTGGACCTATAGCAAATAGAGGGAAGAAGAAAGAAGTATTGCTTGATGATGTAGGAAGTGCTTGCATGAGAGTTGTATCAACCATGGGAAACAATTCATTGGGTGGAGTCAAAGGAAAAAGAAGCGAGAGAGAAAGGGACAAAGATATGTCAGCTAGACTATGTGTTACCAAAGCTGGCCGTTCATCTGCAGGGGACTTTAGGGCTGAGCGTAAAACGAAAACAAAACCCAAGCAGAAGACAGGTCAGCTAACTCCTGCAGGAAATAGATTTGTTGGCAAGTTGACGGATGTAAATTATTCTGACAACCCTGCAACTAGGGTTTCCAGTGAAGTTGCTAATGGTAGCACAAAAAAGGAATTTACCGTAGTATTGCCCCTTAATAATGCTACTGAAGACTCGTCAAAGGAAATTAGTGAATGTACAGATTTCACAAATCTTCAGTTACATGATTTAGATTCAATAGAGTTAGGTGTGGCCAATGAACTTGGTGGCCATCAAGATCTCGATTCTTGGTTGAACATTGATGAGGATGGATTACAAGACCATGATGCAGTGGGCCTTGACATACCCATGGACGACCTCTCTGAGTTGAATATGCTTTTATAGTGATTGTATAGTGTACTTTTTTCCTTTTTCCTTTTTTTTTTTCATTTATTGGGGTTTTAGAATTTATACTTTAGTCAGGGGGAAAGCTGCATGTACAAGTTAAGCTTCTGACAGATTGGCAATCGGTATCATTGTCATTTAATTCTTACACTTCTGTGGTGGGTGGGTTTGGGGGAGTGGAACGGAGAGAGGGTGGGGGTGGTGAGGTCATAATTGTTTATGTAACCAGAAACTTATTTCATATGCAATCAAAACAATTTTCTTGGAAGACTCTGTCGTCTATGATATTTTTACAACTCTGTCTTTAGTTTCTCCTACATGCCTGCAAATTTGTTCAGTGATGGTATTCAGCACTTATCCTGTTACTCTTGATTATTTGCTAGTGATTGCTCTTACTTTGTTGGATTGTTAGCTCTGCAGATTCTTATTTCCCTCACTCTAGGAGTTCAGCGACTTGTCAGGGATCGTCTCTGGCAGAGTTTAATGCAATCAATGATACAATTCTGCTCTTGCTATGAAAGCCTGGAGATTGCCCCTATTGTGATTATTTAGTATCCTTTTTTTTATTTGATAACCGAGTCCCCTCTTTTTTCCTTGGTAGTCTCTTCTTTCTTTCTCTCTTTCTTCCTTTCATTTTTTTTTTAATTTATGAATTGATGCATTTATGTACCTTTCAGCTACTATAGTTTAAATGGTCTTTTGTGCTAATTGGGAGAGGTTCTTGTTATCATCTTGACATGGGGCTTGGCTTGTAGTTTCATATTATCGATAAATATTCTGGTTTCTTATAGGAAAAAGAATTGGAACGGAACTTCCATTGCTACAATAGTGGATTTCAGTCTAACCATGTTACCTTGTTTAGTATTTATGTATCAAGAGTGGATATTCTTGCCATTGTTGCAGTCAGAGAAAAATGATTATCTCATCACCGTACTAGAGTTGATTTGCTTCCTGTTATTTAAAGTTAAAACTTTGAGATCTTCAGGATGCCTATTTTGACAGCCTCTTGCCAGTTGGTAAGAGAAGATGCCTGCCGTTTACCTCTACTGCTTATCATAGTGCAAAGTCCCTTCATATTTGTGGTAAGATGCCTATTATTTTGTTAATGCAATGCATTGTATATAAAATAGATGTATGGTATGATTGTTACACTTGATTCGTATCATTCATTACTTTTGTCTGCCTTCGTGTTTATACAGGATCTTTGATTTTCCGTAAATCTCGAGGTAAGCATTTTCTCTTGCATGGAGTGAAGGAAAAAGGTCATACCGTCGTCCCAACCATAGTTATACGGACAGCTGTTAATGGCTGTACGACCCTACTAACCCTTGCTCATAAGGTTTAGTTTCATTTGCTTCTCTGTTTTCTAACTCTCCTTTGTTATAAAAAGGATCATTGGATTGGTACCTTAACCATAGATCTTTTACGTTTTACCCTATTTTGTTTAGCCTTACCAGTTCTTAGTTTCATATGCACCCCTTTCCTCCTTTCCTCTGGTCTTTTAGCTGTCTTACATATGCTTAAAGGAGCAGGCTGCAGTCCTAGGTTTAGGACAGAAGGGCTTGTGGCTTGCATCGGTTGGACAGGAGACTTCAGGGAAGGGGTTTTTTGACCGGTTTGGTTTTTAGTCGTTGTTTGCTGTACATGGCTTGAGAAATAGTGTTTCTCAACTTCCGAGTACACGATATGGAGTACATTGCTTGAATATTTGATTTCTTAATTCCTTTCTACTAAGTTCATGATGTGCTGCATCTTGAGGTATATTCTTTGTGGAGGGTAAAGTTCATGTTCATGAGCTATTTCTTTTTTCAAATCCATTTTAGTAATGCACCTGCCCAAGCTGTTGAATAATTGGAATTGGAAACATGGGGATAACTTCTGATAGGGGCACCCTTTTCTGTTGTTTTCCATTATTTATTTACTTTGGTAATATCTGGTAAACTGAATGGTGAATAGAACATCCTTGTTTCAGTTATCCTTTAGCCGTAGAATTCTTTGTTTCAATCTCGCAATTTTTCGAATTTTCCTGATGACTCATCTGTGTATTATTGCATAAATTGATATGAACTTCTATTTGTAGGTAATTTTACTTCTGACAAGTTACTTGAGATGTCAATATGCAGCCAATTGGGTTGTGTCACGCCCCACTTCCAAGAGTGAAACAAAGGAAAAGTCTTACTTGACCTTATTATTAGGTTATCCTACTTCGGTGTCTGGTCAGATTTATAGGGTATGTGCCAGAAAATTCGGGGGTCTACTTTTTTCAAGAATTATATGATCATTGGTAAAATAGCGTATAGGTCTGGGTGGGATGATAGGAAATAGATTCACTTATCGGGGTAAGACTGAAACAAAACTAAATGAGTCCTAATCTTCAGTGTTATTCATTCTGAGCTGAAATTATGACACTCTTGTGTCCAAGTTTCTTGTTCTAACTTCAGTTTATTAATCTCTAACATGCATGTCTACTACTTGCTAGAAATACATTCATTTCTTCGAATTCTACCGCAGGGCAAACAAAGTTGCTTTCGAACTGGTGTACACAAAGCTTCACGAGGTCATGTTTCAGCAAGACGGGATTTGGATCCCAGAAACCGCGTCGTGGGAGAAACGCTTGCTGACGTAAAGGCCATAAATGAAGCTTCAGAAAACTATAAGCTTGTGCTGATGTCTTTCAATAAACATCTCCAACAACTGCAGCAGGACATATTTGGTGATGCTGAGAAGGATTATGGAAGCAGAAAACAATGAGACCTTATAATTTCTCAAAATTCTATTTGTTTGTTATTATTATTATTATTATTTTTAAGAAGCACATAAATGATGATGAACTTTGTATTACTCATCTCAGACCAAAAGAAATTGGATAACTGGAGCCTAATTTTAATTATAGCATGGCATAAGATTTATGGATATTCCGAAAATTGTTAGAAAAATATAATAGTGTAAATATTTTCTTAAGCGATATGCTCAAATTAGACATAATATCTACAATGGACAAAAATCTATATGCTTGTCACAATATTTTCTTTAATAGATAGTACCATATTCAATAAAATTTAAAATATCTATATTTAAAAATAAATTTCAAGATAATAATTTTTTACGAAAATATCAGATGTAAACTTAAACGGATCACAAGGCTCAAATTTGATCTTTTATTAAGTTAAATTATAAATTAAGCCTAATTTTTAAGGTTGTGTCCTCCTTGAATAATATGCATTAGTGAAGGTCAAAAACAACATGAGAAAGATGTGGTGGAGTTGAAAGCGTTAGAACGGAGGGTCCCGTCGAGGATTGTCTCGCTCACATTTTGATTTTTCCAATCAATTTTTGGATCAGGCTCACATTTTGATTTTTCCAATCAATTTTTGGATCAGGTCACTAGCCAATATGCACAATCGTCTGAATTTTTAAAATATCAAATGTTTGTTTTGAACTTTCAATTTTATATCTAATATAGACCTCTTGTTTATTAGACATTTAAAGAAATATCGATACAAGATTTAATGGAAAGTTGAGGAGATAAGAATAATAAGTTTGAAATAGTAATATTTTATAAAAAAAACTCGGAAATTTCATCCATTCCTTGCTAGTTTTTTTTTTTTTTCTTTTTTGAAAACAGTGTATTGTTGAGATTTAGAACAAACAAATAATAAAAATATATAATTTTTTCCGTTTAACTTCAGCCGGAGAAATTTCTCAAAGGGGATTGGCGGGTGATTCTCTCGAGACTGCTTCGTCTCTCCTCCTTGGCTTCCATTTCATATGGTCATCATAGAAAGCTCGAATTCCACATCGAGTAGATTCCGAATTGTAAGCACCCATTTGATGGTCTGATCTGATATTCTTCTGGGTTTCGAATTATCCAATTTTTCAGGCTTCAAATCGATGAAACCCGGAATTTCATTTTTGATAGGGTTGAAGGCAGCAGCCTTGTTCTCTCTATTTCTATTTCTCAGATTCTATGGCTTCCGATTGTTATCGTTTCAATTCTTGTACGCGTCTCTAGTTTCTCTCTTGGTTTCAGTCGCTTCTCTCCCATCCATCAATCTTCCGCTGCTTTTGGGGAAGAGAACAGATGGGAGTTTTCCGATTTGGTCGATCGTCATCTTCAGCCCATTTTTGTTTTTCGTCCGATTTCTTCCTTCATTGAGGGGATTGTACCGTAGGGACGATCCTTACTCTGAAATTTGTGAGGGTATATTCGTTGGGGGGTGGCCTAGTTCTCCTGATAGATTGCCTCCTTGCAACCCTGCCATTTTAGATTGTACTTGTGAGTTGCCTCGATGTTTGGAGGTCTCTGGGCCAAGTTATTTGTGTATCCCAACTTGGGACACTCGCTCTCCTCAGCCAGAAAATATTGAATCGGCTGTTCGATGGGTTTGTAGAAAGAGAGAGCAGAAGAGGCCAGTGTTCATCCATTGTGCTTATGGTAAGCTCTCTTGGTTTACAGATTTGTTGAATCACTCTGATTTTCTAATGTTGGTTACAGAAAGAGGGTGCAATTGTCTCCTTAGTTTGTTTTCAATGAAAATAGATTTATAAAAGAGTTTTAAGATTTTAAAGTTCTCATCTAGTTCTCCACCCAAATTTTAGAATTGAAAGATTATATGTATCAAAAGTTGGAATGCAATATACTGTCCCTCATTAGAAAAAATTCTGGCTCCTGTCTCTTGTTGTTTACTGGATCTGAGTGGACAACTATGTTTTTGTGATGATTGTTATTTGATGGTATTGTTTGATTTCTTGTATTCCTTTTCTGTTCAATCTGAACTGATTAGGATTACTTTTCACCTGGTTCTTAGTTTGCATACTCTTCCACGCATTAATTCAGAGTGTGCTGGAATGATGATGCATTGGGCTGACCATTTGATGTCCTATAATCTTGGATTTCGACCTCCTATTCCGCTAATTGTTTCGATGCCCACTGTAGATAGAGATCATGTTGCTTTATTTCTTGATTGTTCGTATTTCCAGTTTTTGTTCTTCCACTAGAGTTGATTGCATTGTTTCTATTTCAGAAATGTCTCGTCCTGCCAATTATAGTAACCCAATCTGACATTTTTAATTGCTATTGAATATTAGTGGAAGTTCTTGGGCTAAGTAGAAAAATGGAAATTCTTTGACCTTCTTTTTATGAAAAAACTCGAGCTTTTTATTGAGAAAGATGAAAAAAGAAAGCATATATGGGGACATACAAAAAAATAGCCCTACGACAGGAAGCCCGCCTAAAGAAAGGGGGCTCCAATCTAACGGGATAACACCTCTAATAATTACAAAAGAACTTTGAAATCGATTCCCAACCAAATCTAACAAGCTCCCAAACATACTCTAATATCCTCAAAAATAACAAAGAAACAAGTCCGCCACATAATTTGGTTAATGTGTTACGTTGGAAAGCTGTGAAATTGGTTTATTTATCTTAGGTTATGAGCTTGCTAGCCCCACAGGGGCTACATAAAGTGACTTGAGCCTTTGAAAACCACCTCTCAAACTACATATTTACTTTTGCAAAGTAAAACTTCATAAACCAAACATATTTATGTAAACCCAAGTCTCTTTGACTTGGTGCTTTATAAATATTTGTACATAGGCTACACAGATCCAACTTCCCAACCCCAAGCCACAAACTTACACCTAGTGAGACTATGACCCAAATATCTTCTAAGTAGTGCAAAGATTAACAAGAATAGCAAGTAATATCTATACATAATTAACTTCAAATTTAGAATATTACGGCCCGAAGCTTTCTTTTCTTCTGGAAACTATTACATCATAAATACATGATGGAGCCTTTTGCCGGTTGACAAGGGCTTGGGGTCCTTGGTCATACTGGCTTAGAGGTCATTAAGTTGAACCTTTTGGTGAGCTTAATACCAAAAACACTTGATATCTCTCGGGTTTGAGCCTTGGGATGGATGCAGATGTTCCTAGGTATAGGAGATCAAAACTCTAACTCCCAATTATAAAAAGAAAATTAATAATACAAAAATTAATAAATACGGGGTAGGAATTCAAACTTATGGGGGACAAAGATGCTTTAATGAAATACTGTAGGACCTTACTGAATATGTGTTCCAATTATGTTTGCACCCTCTGCTCTGTATGTGTCCTCTTTGCAAGTTTCCACAATTTGAGAGGTTGCTGGAGATCTGTTCCTGTTCTGTTTGCTCTGTTGGTAAATTTGCAAAACCATTGTCTGTAGAATAAAGAGCCCTGTTTTCCAGGTCATGGAAGAAGCGTCGCGGTTACATGTGCAGTGTTAGTGGCTCTAGGAGAGGCAGAAGATTGGAAAAATGCTGAGAAGTTGATAAAAGAGAAACGACCTTGCATTCGGATGAATTCGTCTCATCGCAAAGCCTTGGAAGAATGGTCCAAACATCGGCTATCTGCTCCGACGAAGAAGAGAGATAACGATGTCAGTTCTATGCTTCTTTCTGGTGGCTGAGGAGCAAAAGGATGAATCTAAAAGGGGCACATGTAACTATAGTAATCTTGCTTATTGCTTGAGATGGTAATTTGATGTCATGAATGAACTTTGAGTGCTGATACTGAAGCAAGAACCTCCAATTTTTCCATTTTGAATTCAGCCCTTTAATTTGTGTGCCCTCACACCAAAATTGTTAGTTCAGGCTTGAAGGCTAGTAGTTATACTTATATAGACATGAGCATACAAACTGCTCAAACTTATGAAACTGTATCATGAAGTAGCTATTTGAATTTAAACCTATAGGTAGAGGTGTTCAACGGTGGGTCAGCATCAGTTTTGACTCTTCTTTTTTCTTCAAGGTTTGTGTCGACCGACCGGTCGGTTTTGATGCAAAACCGACATAGGAAGAGTAGGGAGAGGCGAGAGACCTAAGAGCATAGTTATTGGTTCCTACAACAATAGTAGCCTTCCAAATGTCTACTAAGATCCCCATTATTTTCAAGTTTTTAATCTTCGCAACCACAGTTATATAATTAAGCTGGTCGGTCGGTTTTTTTGTAGGTCTAGGAGAACCGACCATCGACCATTCTGCCTCCAAAATCAATGGACACACTTCAGTCCAGTCGATCGGCATGGTTTTCTTAAAGCATACCTTCTTTTTTATTTTTAGTGAAAGAAAAGTCATATAATTCTTTAATCTTCTTCTTCTTTGAATTTTCTTCCTTTTCCTAAAAAAGTATTATTCGAATGTGCTATAATATTTTTATGCTGGATATATTTATATCATTATTTTTAGTATTTCTAACAGCATGGACTATATCATAAAGTGATGAAAAGTGAAGTAAGAATAAATGAAATTAAATATATATATATATATGTGTGTGTGTATATATATATATACATGGTAAAGTCTAAATGAAAATCAGATCAATATAGTTATTATAAAAAAACTACTTTGTGTTGTGTTGTGTGTTTTCTTTTTAAAGGAACTATTCTGTGTTCCTACACTCAATGTAAAGACGATGTATAATATACGTTACTCTTAAAATAATGTCAAGGGAACATGTTTAAAATATAAACTTTTCTAATTTAACCTGGAAATGAGTATCTCAATTCCCCACGAAGAAAAATGTACTTTTTTCCTATCACTTTTAAATTGTTAAAATATTACAAAATTTCCTTAATTATAAATATTATTACAATAAAACCCTCCAATCATAATCGTTCTACAATAAAAATTTTGTAAAAGTATATTTTAACAAAAAAAAAATTATATATTTTGCCATGAAGAGAGAGAATTGAATAATTCCAAAGAAGGAAAATGAAAGAAAAGAATTAGTTTTGAAACAAAATCAGAAACTCACTTTTTAAAAATATAGAAAATGAAATATATTACTGGACAGAATTGGAAAGTTTCGAGAATATTCTACTGAGCTCACGCTGAGTTAAGATAGGATGGGCGTAGAGGATCGCAGCCTCAGTGACCAACTGGAGCGTCTTCACTCGGAGTCGGCTCTTAAGGAAAGAAAACAACAGCGAACAAACTCACACGAAGTTGGCTTCTTCTTCTTCAGCGGCATTAGGGCTACTTTCCATTTCTTCATCGCCGTTTTCTTCGCCGTCTCCGATCGCCGGTATCATCTTTTCCGATCTACAGTATTCTGTTTCTCGTTTTCTTACTCTACAACTGTTGTTTTCACCTTTTTTTTTTCTTTTTTTTTTTTCGTATGCGAGCTGCCTTTCTGTAAGTTCTCTTTTTCGCTTTTTGTGTTTGTCGCTGTTTGTTTTGTTGATCGTTGCCGTAGGAGTTTGGTGGTTGTGATTTATGATGTGATTGAAGCGTGGATCAAGCGTTTGGCTGTTACAAACTCTGGATTTCTGAGGATTTCTAATATCTTATTTGTTTCTGATGAACGATTGTAATTATAGAGCGTCGGCTTCCTTTTTTGATTTTAATTCAGAATAGTTTTGGGCTGGTTGTTGCTTCAGATACAGGCGGATTCTATTTTTGCCTGATTTTTCTGTCTGTCTCTGTCGTTATTTGATCGCTTTGCATGCTTGATAAAACTTCTAGTTCTTCTCTCAATTCACACGAAGCGAAGTTATGTTTACCTTGCGCGATCGTGTGGGCAAATTTTAGTATCCAATCGTGCACTTGAGGTTGTGGATGTATTCTTTTCATTTGCTTGCTCTCATTATTTCAAAATATTTGAGGTCATATTTACTCACTTTTCAGGTTACTTAAACTCCTAACGTATTTTTGTTGATTGGTTTAAGTTAAACTATAAAACGAAATGAGTTTTTTAAAACGTAGATTTTTGTTAAGAATGAATTGTTATTACAACTTTCCATGTCCAGTTCATTGTTTGGAACTATTTCGCATCCTCATCGATTGAATTCTTTTTAGAAGGAAGTTTTGTAGTTAAGATCTTGTATGATCCATTTTTTCTAATATGTCTTGTCACTTTCATTTTGTAATAGTGATAGGTATGAACATGTATGGTTTAAAGTGTAGAACTAGTTAAGGTTACTGAGTCTTCTGCAGTGTCTAATGAATGATTTCAATTTTCTCTGTCTAAATACCCTGTTTTTGTTTTCATTGCCTCAGCTATCACTTTTGAACTCTGAACATGTCGACTATCAGTCTCTCGACATCCTGCATGGTCAAAAGTGCTACACCAAGGAGATCCTATGCCCTAGTGCAGAGGCCATCTTCCTTGGGTGCTTTTAGGAATGTATCCCGGGCATTTGGCTTGAAGTCTTCCTCATTCAGAGTGTCAGCAATGGCTTCTTACAAAGTGAAATTAATCGGACCAAACGGTGAAGAGAATGAGTTTGAAGCCCCCGACGATGCTTACATTCTTGACTCGGCTGAGAATGCTGGATTGGATCTACCTTACTCTTGCAGGGCTGGGGCTTGCTCTACATGTGCTGGGCAAATAGTTTCTGGGGAAGTTGACCAGTCGGATGGATCGTTCTTGGACGATAATCAGATGGAGAAGGGGTATCTGCTAACGTGCGTGGCATATCCACAATCCGACTGTGTCATCCACACGCACAAGGAAGGTGATTTGTACTGATGTCTTTGTTCGTTTTTTTTCGTTATATTAGACCAGTCCTGGTTGAACTACATTCATGCTCGACTTTTTATGGCTTAGTTTTGAGGTTGAATGTGTCCATTGCAAGAACTGTGTACTTTCTACTGAGAATTTTAAGTTTGCTGGTGGTAGCATCCATTGGGTTTTCATGAATAATGGATATTCGTGTTAGTTTAAAAAGAATGTTTGGCTTCAAAATCTGCTCCACCACCCACTTCTACTTTTGTTTAAAGGCAACTAATTAGTGCCCATTATGATAAAAGGGGCTTTTCTGATTGTTTAATTAATTGTCTTTTTTTAAAATACACTTTAAACCACTCAAATTGACGTCGTCTATTGTTCATATGAAATATTCTATTATTTGAAATGTTTTTTTCTTCAACTTTTACCATCTAAATTTGCTATATTCCTTTCAGGAAAGAAAAAATAAAATAAACAAATTGCTATCTTCCTCTCATAGTTGAAGCTACTGATTCATTGGAAATTTTAAAAAATAAAATAACATTCGATCGAGGTTATTCTAGGCTCTTCTAAAAAATATTGCATTTGGAAATTTATAAAATTTTCTGCTGGTATAAGTCAAATTGATTTGTTTGTATATACTTCGACGGAAGACCACTAAAATTGTCTTAATCAAAATTTAACGCGACATGCTTTTTATATGAAAGGAATCGAGAATGGGCCAAAATTGTATGGGTCGTATTTACATTTCACCGATAGTCGCTTATTTATTACATTTATAAAAACAAATTATTATTTTTAGAAAAATGTAGACGGTTTAAATAAAAACCATGAATTTAAATCAAAATAAATTAAAATAACTACGCGTCTGTAACAAATACAAACAATTATTATACCCTACAAGAAAATTTTAAGTTAAAATTGAAACTTAAAAGTAACGCTATTCCTGTAGGTTTAATTTTAATCTTGCATATCCTAATTTTAAACCAAAAGTGTCAATCCCATACTAAATTACGGCAAATTAAAAACAAATCACGTTTAAAGATCCATACAGCCATTATAACAAAGCTAAAAACTAATCTCATCACTTGACAAAATTCGAAATTGCAAAACGAAAGGCAACTACATATCTTCTACACCTTTACGGGCACAAGTGAAATGAATTGTCTTAGGTATTGGTTGCTCTGGTGTAGATCTGCTGACTGGAATGAGCCGAGATCATTCTGATGGATCCTCGTGCCATCAAATCCTTAATCGCTCGTCGAGCTAGTGATCCATTGATCTAAATATAGCATATGACACGAGGGATCATTGGTAATTCCTTGAGTAAATTGAATTGCTAAACTACAAATAGCAGCAGCAGAAGGGAATCACAAAGTTCAACCAGAAATGCAATCCTCATAAAATCTTTAAGAATTTGTGAGTTTGGTTCCTTCACTATGAATTCATGTTTAATAGCTAGTCCACTCAGACATGTGAGCAAATCAGTTCAATCAAGCATTAAATTTGAAAACTTATGAAAGACCATTATGATTAGAACCTTAAAATTAAAAGGAAGAAAGTACTTACCCTCAGCCTATCAGACAGGATTGAAGGAGTGACTAGCTTGTACTTGGGAACTTCGGAAAGGAGCTTATCATAAGTTCCTTGATCAAACAAAACCATGTTGTTCACCTTCTCCTTTTGCTTACCCTTGCTCCATTTCTGCACACAAGATGATAACGTAACAAACCCAGATGAACATTTCACCCATGAAATACAACAACAAAAAAGTCTAGGCATTGTCATCAACTCATTATGACTTTCCTATTCAACAAACTTCAACAATTCTCGAATATCTCATTGCATTTTTCAGGCTCACAAGACTTGTAATTTCTGAACGATAATCACAATCCCTTATTCGTAAATGAAGAAATAAGTCATTTCAAGAATGGTAACCCTAGGTAAGTATTGTGAACTCAATTCGGTGTGGAATGATACACTACACTAGCTATCTATAAAGACCAAACTGCGAAGGATGGAGTTCCAAATTAACAATGTCGAAATAAAATACATCAATACTAATTTACCAACTTCAGAAGAACACGAGCTACAAAAGATCCATGCAGTAACAACAGTGGACATTAAAACGATTCTATCTAAGCAATCTTCGGCATACTAGTCACGGATCCGCAAGACTAAAAGGAGATTGATTATAATCGCACGCCCGACAGTAATCTTAACCATAGACAAAGTTTAACTCTAAGAAGCATACCTTCTTCTTCTGCTTTCCTCCGCCGGACTTGGCGGGCTTGGAGGACGGTGGAGGAGCCTTATCCTTCTTCGGCGCCTACGATTCAAACCAAACAAAAACCACAAGAAGTCGAAGAGTTCATCAGAATTCCATAATACGAAATCAGAATAGTGAGGAAGAAAGAATCATTTGAATGGCGATGAATTGGAAAAAAAAAAGCACGCAGTAAATCACCATTAGATCCGATTTCGATGGTTGAGAAGAAGTTGCAGAGGTTTCCGCTGGAAGGAAGCGGATTTTGTTGGAGGGGAAAGCATATATAGGACGACTGAAATTTTCTAGGGTTTCAAATAGACGCACTCACGAATGGGCTTTTAGTTTTGGGCCTAAAACTGAAACTAAGGGCCCATTATTTAATTGGGCCGGAAGATGGACAAATATGGGCTCGTGTATGCCTAAGAGTAGGATCCGCTTTTTCTTTTTCTTTGTTTTTTACCTTTTTTTTTTAAATAATCCTATTTTCCCCGTAGTGGGGGTGTTAAAAAGTCAAAAGTCAAGCTTGTTAAACAAATATTTTTTCTTATATTTATATTTTTAATTCTTAGATAAGTTTTGATAGCGCATGAGCTATCTTTAATGACATTTATATTTAAATTATGTGTTACTTTTCATTCTTTAAGACAGATGCACGTAAGATATATTTTAATAAATAATTATGTGGAAATAGGACATAAATGGATCAAATCGAGAGGAAGACAATAGTCCAAGCGAGTAAATAAGACATTGCGACACTTATTAAAGTCCAAATACCCAAGAGAACGGCACCACGACACCTGCAGTCGAAGAAATAGAAGGTGGAATTTTGGCCCGAGGGGTCAATGCCTAGGCACTACCTCACGACGCTTTGGCTAAGCTGAAAATTTAATGTTTCAATTGTAAATATTTGGGGAAGTTATAAGAAAACTACGAAATACTAACGAGTTGTATATACCTTTTGAATTACGACAAAAAATTAAGTCCTCGCTCCTATATTTAGCTATAAGTCCAATGTTAGATATATATAATTATCTATCTTTTTTTGGTACAACAACATGTGGTGTAGAAATTCAAACACACGTCTTTTTGATCAAAATTACTTGTCTTAACCCGTTGGACTAGAATCACATCAGCTCCTAATTACCTATCATCCATTTGAAATTGATACTTTAGAAAAAAAAAAGTATAAAAATCACAAATTATCCGGTGTACTTCGAATCCAAATCTATCATTTTGGATTATTAACTCGATCATCGAAGTCATAACAAAGCACAAACATCCATATCGAACTAACTCATTGACACTCATTCTTGTTTTAAAATATGATTTTGATGCTAATTACATATGTCAACAAAACAACAATGGTCAATTATAAGTTCCAAAGCCTACAATCACAAACATTAAATTTTCTTCATTTCTGTGGCACATACACTTGAATCAGGACTAATCACTGTGCTAAAAAAATATGCAATAAATGACACTATACTTCATCTCCAAACCAAAACAAAATGCCAAAGAAAGAACAGCCCATTATGACCTATTGACACATGAAGGATGTTGCCAATCCAATCCTAGAAGAGAAAAAAGAAAAGAAAATAGAAATCTATATACATCTTTGATCTTAGGCAACAGTCATCTGGAGCATTAAGCCGAAGCTAGCGCGGTTTTTATCGCAGCTGCTCGTAACCAGATCCAAATACTGCAGAGCTTCCTGAGGGAGAAGACCTTCAAGAAAGAAATTTAGTAAATGTGAATGTGTTTGTTTCATCACATCCAGGAGCTGCTCTAACATGTTCTCCTGCTGCTCTTTGGTCAGTTCTACAGCCTCAAGCAAAGGTAATAGTTTTTTCTCTTCATCCATGAAGTGGTGCTTACAGTGTTCCTGCCCCCCAAGAAGTAAAAAGAAATCAAGTTACACCCACGCACCTCCATAATTGCTATTGATGGATGGATCATGGAGCAGGCATTCTTAGCGTGCAATAAAGAAAATAACTGCTTGGCTATGAAAGATGAGAGAGACTGTGGAGTGTGCGATCATGCATGGTCAACTGTGCATCAAAAACTTGGCAATTAAATGTGATTTGAAAGGTAAACGGTTAGTTCCATGGTGTGGTCAGTGTGTCATGTGGGCACAGAATGATCTTTGATGCTCTGCAGTTCACATGGGTTAGACAGTTATCTGTGTTCCCCACTTTGTCCCTATAAGCTTGAATAGAACTTGTGGTGATGAGTGTTATTTGTGTCATTCTACCTTATATTATGCTTGAGAATGACGTATAAGTGTTTCTATGAAAAGCCTAAAGTACTTAAAAAGTGTTTGTGAGAAAGCACTCGGAGTACTTTGTCCACTCAAAAACACTTTTAATGAGTGTAAAACCAGACCAGACGTTAAAGATATTAGTACTTCTAAATATACTCGACCATAATGACCATCATGGGTGGCTCATTGGTCCAAATGAGCTAAGGTAAATTGAGAACAAATGGGTTCAAACCCATTTATGGCCACCTACTCTTGTAAATTGTGAATTAATTCCTATGTGTTACCCAACACCAAATGTTGTAGAGTCAGACGTCCTGTGAGATTAGTCGAGGTGCACCTAGGATGGCTCGGACATTCACGGATATCAAAAAGACAGAAACTCAACCCTAATGTCTTATGAGTGTTTTGACAAAAAGATGCAAAGTGGGAGTGAGAGGATTTAAATCTAGACAAAAAAAGATCTTACATCAACTAGAATTTGTCAATTGAGTCGTAAAAATAAGAATCAACCATCCAGTATTTTCTTGTTTTGGAGATCCACTGTCTTCTTTCATCTAATTTTTCTCTGTGGTCTCTATACATTTTCCCTGGAATCTTAAGCATAAGGTCCTACGAACCGATCTGGGTCAAGATTTTAATTCCCAAGGATTTTATACAGATGAGGATTATAGAAGGCTTGAGAGTGGAGTTACCTGCAACAACTTGAGCCGTTTGGAAAGGTTGGAGAGTGCTTCTTGGCAAACGAAACTTCCCAAGTCTAAAACGACAGTGGATTTAATGTCTTCTTTGATGCCATTCATGATGGGTAGATCTCTTGCATGCTCCTCATTTGAAGCTTTACATAATCCTGCAGATTATCACATCCAGCAACTAATCCCTTCATCTTTACTCATGAATGTAATATCAAATACGAAAAATTATAAATTTTACAGTCAATTTGGGCACTGTTTGAATAAATCCCACCTCAAAAAATCCATCATGAGATTGTACTTCTCCACCCCAATCTCAATTTCCACATTCACCCATAATGTCTTTTCTACACACACATAAAGTAATTTTTTTCTACGTGTAATTTATATCAAAAAGGTTTTATAGACTTACTCATATGCATATTAAGATTTATACAAATAAATTATGAATTAAATAAAGAAAATAGCCCCAGTGTAGTAATTTATCATCCGACCAAGGTAACAAATTCTCCTAAAATGACAATAAGACACTAAGAAAGAAATGCTCAATTCTAGAGGAGAAGTTTGATGTTTATTCTATTTTGAACGTTAAATTTGCAAACATTTTATTTCATAATTTCTGAATTTTGTATTAGAAAAAATTTTAGATTTTTTTATAAATCATAAATAAACCTCATTAATACTCTTTTTGTTATTAACCTAATAAGTAGATGTTGGACACAGGTTCGATTTAGGATATCATTTCATGGATCTTGAAACAAATCAAACATTTTGTCGGTTTATATTAAATTGACAAGACGATGAAAAAAAATTTCTATATAATTTAGGGGCTACAAGAATAAATATAAAAATTCATAGACTAAAATAAAACTTTACCTTTATTTCTTTAAAATAAAAAATTAGTAGCAATATATTTGATTAATTCTCATCTATGTGTTGAAATTAAATTATTATTTAAAAAAAATATCATCTATGGGTTGTCTTCTAGTTGTTCTCCCCGGTTCCCCCTCATGTGGTTTGTTTTTAAAATAACAGAAACAACTTTTCCTTTAAACATGTGAATAGTTACACCGTTCCATATAATTAGGGTAAAGCTGCCAAACAACCTATTTAATTACACAAAATTTTAAAAAAAAAATCTTGAAACAAGAAAGGCTAGTGAAGTTTATCACTAGTTTTTTTTTTTTAATGGTAATAAGTAATTTATCACTAAATTAGGTCTGAATTCACGAATCATCTCATTTTTCTGGTTCTGGTTTGATAAATCTAAAACAGCCATTTCCTTAATCAGCAACGTTTTTCAAAATATTGTATTGCAAATTTAAATCACAAATACTTAATTTGTCCAAGTCTCTATTCGGTGTAACGCAGAGCAGAATAAGAACAATGGAACTTACCTCGATCAGCCATCTCCAAGATCGGGAAGAGGACTTTCTCCTCCATCTGAGCGTGCTCCAGCATCACTTCCAGCAGCTGAGAGTAACTCCTCCCGAACTTCCTCAGCTCCATCCTCGGCGTCCCCACCGCCGGATCAACGGCCGTTCTCCCTCCACGAGCAGCCAGATCCTTCGCCCATCTCAGTAGCCTCTCCA